TTTACTGAATGAACGCCTTCATCCGATTGTTATGCTGGACAAAAAAAAATGTAAATTATTTCTCTAGTTTCTCAAATAGAGCGAGTTTGGTTTTAAAGGTGTGTGGTGTCATGTTTTGTGATGGAGAATAAGATGGGAATGGAGGGAGGCTTCCGAAAGGGAGAGTTGAAGTCCAAAACACCTGGAGGGCCGAAGTTTCCCCATGCTTGATCTAAATCCTCTTAATTAGTATCAAAAGTGTCAATCAATTGAAACATTCACACCTAGCTCCAACAGACAAGAGTTCTTTGTCCCACCCTTGTCGTTCCACAGATATATAAACCCTTTTTTCTAGTTCCAACAGACCTCACTACCTCCAAGGATGCTTGCCATAGATGCAGGCGAAACGTCAGGAGAGAATGCCTCTAGAACATGGCAATATAGCCCGAAAAAACCTACAACAACCCAATTGAATCATTGAATAGCAAGTTGAAAGGGGGATAAATCCCATTGACTCAATGATCGATTCAGATTGGGACAGTAGGATTTTTGAACATCAGAAATTTGCTGTTATACATTATGCCTGGGTAAATTAGTCAGTTTCTGATGGACCACTTGGCACTGGTTAAAGCCTCTTCTGTCCTGGTTGCCTATCATCTGTCACAAAAGGCCTGCCTCAGGGGAGCGTGCTTGCTCCATCAATGTTTAACATTTACACAAATGATCAGGCACTTCCAGAAGGGACAGAGAGTTTCATCTATGCTGATGATCGTGCCATCACCGATCAAGCAAGGGGCTTTAAAATGGTTGAACAGAAGCTCTCCAAAGCTCTAGGTCAGTGGTTCCCAACCTGTGGGCCGCAGCCCACTGGTGAACTGCAAAGCTAAAATAAGTTCTGTGGCTCTAGATTATTAAATATGGTTTTCTGTGGGAGAGCAGATGGTGACTACTGGATGAAATATGTTCTGTATCAGAAACTAGAGTTGATGTGGTCTATCCAATGCAATTTTCTGAATCAGCACCCCAAATAACCAAACCAAATCTAAAGTTGACCAAAAACCAATTCGTAACACTTTTGATACTAAGATTGGAGAGTAGTCCCTGGTCAGAGTGGTCCCTGGCTATAGATGTGGAAATGCTTCCGGAACATTGCCATACAGCCCGGAAAACCTCTCCAGGTGCTCTAACGTGTCAGGAGAAAATGCTTCTGGAACATGGCCATACAGCCCGGAAAACCTCTGTAGGTGCTCTAACGTGTCAGGAGAAAATGCTTCTGGAACATGGCCATACAGCCCAGAAAACCTCTGTAGGTGCTCTAATGCGTCAGGAGAAAATGCTTCCGGAACATGGCCATACAGCCCGGAAAACCTCTCCAGGTGCTCTAACGTGTCAGGAGAAAATGCTTCCGGAACATGGCCATACAGCCCGGAAAACCTCTCCAGGTGCTCTAACGTGTCAGGAGAAAATGCTTCTGGAACATGGCCATACAGCCCAGAAAACCTCTGTAGGTGCTCTAATGCGTCAGGAGAAAATGCTTCCGGAACATGGCCATACAGCCCGGAAAACCTCTCCAGGTGCTCTAACGTGTCAGGAGAAAATGCTTCTGGAACATGGCCATACAGCCCAGAAAACTGCTCTAGATGCTCAAACGCGTCAGGAGAAAATGCTTCCAGAACATGGCCATACTGCCCAGAAAACCTTTCTAGGTGCTCTAATGCGTCAGGGAAAAATGCTTCCGGAACATGGTCATACAGCCCGGAAAACCTCTCTAGTTGCCCTAATGCGTCAGGAGAAAATGCTTCTGGAACATGGCCATACAGCCCGGAAAACTGCTCTAGATGCTCTAACGTCAGGAGAAAATGCTTCCGGAACATGGGATACAGCCCGGAAAACTGCTCTAGATGCTCTAATGTCAAGAGAAAATGCTTCTGGAACATGGCCATACAACCCGGAAAACCTCTCTAGGTGCTCTAATGCATCATGAGAAAATGCTTCCGGAACATAGCCATACAGCCCGGAAAACCTCTCTATGTGCTCTAACGTGTCAGGAGAAAATGCTTCCGTAACATGGCCATACAGCCCAGAAAACCTCTCTAGTTGCTCTAACGTGTCAGGGGAAAATGCTTCCAGAACATGGCCATACAGCCCGGAAAACTGCTCTTAAGCGGCTGAGGGGGAAAAGGAAAGGGCCTGAGACTGTTAGGAATGGTGGGAGTTGAAGTCCAAAACACTTGGAAGCCCAAAGTTTGCCAATGCCTGTCATAGAGCAATGTAGACGGTGTTTCGAATGGATTGAGAGAGTGAGACCCCGAACATCCCACCCGTCTTTCCGCCTTTGCCTTTGGGCTCCTCTCTTGCCTTCTCTATCCATTCTTGCTGAACGCTTGGCATCCTTGCCAGATCCGCCAACGCTGAGCTCTGCCGAAACGCACCCACGGCCTGATTAACATTCGAGCAAGAGGCATTGGCAGCAGGCTCCTCGATTGGTAGAACGTGAAAACAGCTATTAGCCGCAAACGAGTTAATTTTATTTCACGAGGGTGTTTATCTTTTCGTGAACTCATTGGTCGTGATAAATGAAATGGAACCGCAGGGCAATTAACTCTGGGAGGGAACAAGTCCCTAAAAGAAAAAAGGATATTAAAAGGAGACGGGCCAATTTCCTGGCCCAGATGTGACAACTGAAGCAAAAACATGAGTCAGCTCATGGCCATAAGGCCGCCCACGAATAGAGGAGCTAAGAATAAAAGATGCTCCTAACCACCCCCAACCCAAAGTAACAAGGGCGGCGCATTGCCAGGTTCGGCGTCTAGAGAACAAACACGTAATTACACACAATTACTCATCAATTGCATGTGTTAGATTTAATGGATAACCTCCAAACCTAATATTCGGGGGGAGAAGGGCAGGGTAGAAATGCATGAAATAATAAATAAATACCGTATATACTCGAGTATAAGCTGACCCGAATATAAGCTGAGGCACCTAATTTTACCACAAAAAACTGAGAAAACGGATTGACTCGAGTATTGTGGAAAATGCAGCAGCTACTGGTAAATTGCAAAATAAAAATAGATACCAATTAAATTACATTGATTGAGGAATCAGTAGGTTATTTTTGAATATTTACAAAATAAATGAATATTTACAAAATATTCAATTTTTTAAATATTTACAAAAGTGGTAAATATTTTTGAATATTTTTGAATATTTACAAAAATGGTATTTTAAGATAAGACTGTCCAATTAAATGATTAAATGATTATTTACGTATTCTTCCGATAATAATAAAGAGAGTAACATAATAAAGGTAATAACAACAATAATAATATAAAGAGTAAAATAATGAATGTAGCAATAACAATTATACAGTAAAATAATAAATGTATAATGATAGAGTAAAATGATAAATGTAATAATAATAGAATAAAATAAATGAAAACAACAACAACAACAACAACAGAGTAAAATAATAAATAACCTTGACTTGAATATAAGCTGAAGGGGACCTTTTCAGCCAAAAAAAAAGGGCTGAAAAACTAGGCTTATAGTCGAGTATATACAGTATTATTCTCTTTGGGTATTCATTACTCAAATCTATAGGCGCCCCTCAGTGGTGCAATGGATTAAACCCTTGTGCCGGCAGGACTGCTGACCGAAAGGTCAATGGTTCGAATCTGGGGAGCAGGGTGAGCTCCCACCTGGCAGCTCCAGCTTCTCATGTGTGGACATGAGAGAAGCCTCCCACAGGATGGTAAAACATCCTAGTGTCCCCTGGGCAACATCCTTGCAGGCGGTCAATTTTCTCACACCAAAAGCGACTTGCAGTTTCTCAAGTCGATCCTGACATCAAACAAACAAACAAAAAACCCAAACCCAAATCTATATATAAAAAAGTGAAATTATGTATGCATGTTTTCCATCTCACAAAGGCTCTGGGTTGTAGGTTTTTTGGGTTGTATAGCCATGTTCTAGAAGCATTCTCTTCTGACGCTCCCACAGACGCTCCCACAGATATATAAACCTCGCTTGCCTCGTTTCCAACTGACCTCATAACCTCTGTGGATGCCTGTCATAGATGTGGGTGAAACGTCAGGAGAGAATGCTTCTGGAACAGCCCAGAAAACCCACAGAACCTTTTAACACTGGCAAAAATCTCAGTCGTGTCTTCCAACAACTCCTACCTTTGAAGGAGATATTTACGTAGAACTTGGGAACAGCAATGAAACGACAAAACTAGTGAAGTTGCATAATTACGCAAAGCAAGCAAGTGCAGACTTCTGAGCTAAGCGGTCATCCCTTTATTAACGTTCTGAAGTAAGATAAAATCAGTATAAATAAGCAGTGGCATAATGCTGCAAATCCCTGTGTGCATTTCATTCCAGCTAATAAGCATATTTTGATGTTTAAGATATTATTATTTAAAACAATAGTACGAAAGCTATGATGCATGTAATCAGCAGAAATATACAGGCGGGAGAATATTCAGTCGGTGGATCGCCTTTACATACATGGCTGAGTCTGTTCAAGGCCAGCTTCCTGGAGAAAAGTCCTTTTTTTTGCCATCCTCGGTGCTGCAGAATCAACTCACAGAGCCTCAAAAGCAACTCTAAACAAAGCAGGGGCAGCTTACGAACTGAATTGTGATCCAAAATCAACTCACAGAGTCTCAAGAGCAACGCTAAACAAAGCAGGGGCAGCTTACGAATTGAATGGTGATCCAATTCAGGGTAATTGTAGTAGGGAAGATTCCCACATAGATCCCTGGAAATATTTCTAAGATTTGGATTGAAAAAGCAGGAAGGCAGCTTGCCCCACTCTATCCTGACTTAGCCACAGGCTACTAGCCAGGTGTCACAAGGATTTGCTTCCGCTGCCCTCCAGTTTGGTTGCAGAACTTTGGAAGTGCTAACAACCTTTACGATATTTAGCAAACCTCAGCCTTGGAAGGTGGGTTCTTCTTACCACAGAGAGGCTTTGATGATACAATCACTCTTGATGGACTTCACTTGGCAGCAGCCTCAGGTGGAAGGCAAAGCCAGGGAGGCGATGAGTGATTCCATCGAAAGAGCCTAGCCCAGGCTGTCTGGGGAGGCCGTGATGGCGCTGAAGACCCGATGGAGAGGTTTCTCGAGGAACAAGGCTTTGTGAGCGGCAGCCGTCTCTGCCAAGGAGGCCGGAGCATCTTCTACCAAAGAGAAGGAGAGAAAGTAACAGATGGCTGCCTAACAAAGGAGTTTACTGTTTTTCCTGCCCACATGTCTCGGTTTACTGCATTTCACCACATAATAGTCTCACCCTCATTTTTGCGGGTGACAAAAATTGACATTTTTGTGTTCTTCACATAAGAGTCGCAGAACCATTTCGGGCTGATCCCTCCTTTTTTTCTTTAAAGGCCTTGAGATTAATTTCACAATTCAGCAGCAGATCAGTTGCACAACTTCAGCGCTTTCCAGTAGCTTCTTCCTGCACAGTATTTTCAGTCAACTGCTCCCACAAACTGCAGTCAATCTGGAACTCTTTTACAGACACTTGAGCACATGCCCGGCCATTGTCAGTTTTACTATTGTTTTCCCCTCCAATCTAGATGACACTACAAACTTACCACAGCACACGGTTATATCTTGTCTTAGCAGACAGGTTCTTTTAATCAATTACAAAGAGCCTTCAACGAACAGCATCACAGCACAAGGAGAGAGAATACACTGTACATGACTTCCTTATATACAATTCTATACAATTACACATAGCAATCTCTGATTGGTTCCCAACTCATTAACTTAACTCAGACCCAGGATTACATCATTCACAATCACCTGGACTAGGCCAGAACACATTCCCCAAATGAAGTTCTATATACAGTTAATGCATGACTCAGCATTTCCAATAGAAGCCTATTAGCAGTGCATGACTCAGCTATGTTACATTACAATACATTGTAAAACCTGACAAAAGGGAAGACATTTTAAATACTATGAAGTGGAGTTCTCTGTAACTTGGATCTTCCAAAGGGCCCCATTTCAGATTTTGTCCTTCCTTTCACGAAAGGAGGGAGGAAAATCTTCTTTCCTCCTTCCTAATTTCTCCAAGGCAAGACAGTTTTAAAAACACAAAGAAATGGAGCTGCTTGTTTGAGGCTGGATTACCCACTTCCTGTCTCAGAGGTAGTTAAAAAAATAATCAAAAATTGGAGAATTAAAGTTACTTTTTTCATCAGGTAATAGTCGCACTCTTCCCTTTTTAGGTGAAAAAAAATGATAAAAGTACTACTATTGTGCAATGAAATACATGAACTATTTTCACACCTCATTGGGTGGGTGAACTCTTTTCATTACACCAGCATTAGATATGTTTTGGTGCCTTTGAAAATTGAAGAATCAAAGTTACTTTTTTCATCAGGTAATAGTCGCACTCTCCCCTTTTTAGGTGAAAAAAATGATAAAAGTACTACTATTGTGCAATGAAATACATGAACTATTTTCACACCTCATTGGGTGGGTGAACTCTTTTCATTACACCAGCATTAGATATGTTTTGGTGCCTTTGAAAATTGAAGAATCAAAGTTACTTTTTTCATCAGGTAATAGTCGCACTCTCCCCTTTTTAGGTGAAAAAAATGATAAAAGTACTACTATTGTGCAATGAAATACATGAACTATTTTCACACCTCATTGGGTGGGTGAACTCTTTTCATTACACCAGCATTAGATATGTTTTGGTGCCTTTGAAAATTGAAGAATCAAAGTTACTTTTTTCATCAGGTAATAGTCGCACCCTCCCCTTTTTAGGTGAAAAATGATAAAAAGTACAACTATTGTGCAATGAAATACATGAACTATTTTCACTCCTCATTGGGTGGGTGAACTCTTTTCATTACACCAGCATTAGATACGTTTTGGTGCCTTAAATGTTTGTCGTTTCTGGGTATACATAGCTCTGGATTCTTTACAGCCACGGCACTGCACACTTTGCTAGCTGTGAGCTGAATGCTCAACTTTTTGTATCCTGTTTGTTTTCGGATGCTCTGCTATAGTTTAGGAGTTTTTCCTTAACATGTGAAATAGTCTTTTAGACATAATTTGGATCCTAAAAAATAAAATTAGCAGAACTGCCAATTCTATTTTTTTACCATTTCCAATTCATTAAATAGATCATTGCTGCTTAAACTGTGGCAAAATGGGGTCCCCTGAGCTCAATGTTGGGGTCCCGAAAAATCTGGAGATAGGAAAAGTTTCTGAACACCATCAAGTGGCGATTTTAGACATTTACACAAATCTCTTGTGCAATGCTGCAGAAGATGCATAAAATCAGACTGCTTAGCACAGTGTTTCTCATCCTTCCTAATGCTGTGACCCCTTAATACAGTTCCTCATGTTGTGGTGACCCCCAAACATAACATTATTTTTGTTGCTACTTCATAACTGTAATTTTGCTACTGTTTGAATCGTAATGTAAATATCTGATATGCAGGATGTATTTTCAAATCCCAAATACCCGATATTTGAATACTGGTGGGATGGGGGTGATTGATTTTGTCATTTGGGAACGTTGGAGTTGCTGGGATTTATAGTTCACCTAAAAGCAAAGAGCCTTCTGAACTCCACCAATGATGGAATTTAATCAAACTTGGCACACAGAATTCCCATGACCAAGAGAAAATACTGGGGAGGGTCTTGTGGACATTGACCTTGAGTTTTTGGAGTTGTAGTTCACCTACGCCCAGGGAACACTGTGGACTCAAACAATGGTGGATCAGGACCAAACTTGGCACACATGCTCAATATGCCCAAATGTGAACACTGGTGGAGTTTGGGGAAAATAGACCTTGACATTTGGGAGTTGTAGTTGTTGGGATTTATAGTTCACCCACAATGAAATAGCATTCTGAACCACACCAATGATAGCATTGGACCAAACTTCCCACACAGAACCCCCATGGCCAACAGAAAATACTATGCTTTGGGGACCCCTCTGACACCCACTCACGACCCCCACAGGGGTCCCGACCCCCAGGTTGAGAAACACTGTCTTGGCAAGTCTTGCAAATGCTGCTTTGTTATCAGTAAATGTTTGTTTTTTATACTCATTTTATATATCTATATTCCTGGGGTTGCACAAAACATCTCATGAGTGGATTAGAATTATAGAGTTGGAAGAGCCCCCAAGAGACATCCAGTCCATCCCCCTGCCATGCAGGAAAAGAACAGTCAAAACACGCCCGAGCAATGGCCATCCAGCCTTTGTTTAAAAGAAGGAGTGTCCACCACATTCAGAGGCAGAGAGTTCCACTGCTGAACAGCTCTGATCCCAGAACATGGACTGTAGGCAAGAAAAGTGCTCACTCTCACCTTTGCAAGAGACGGTGGCTTCCGTGGGGAGGGTGCTGACACGGTTTGCGTAAGTGAGCCTGGCCACGAATGGAAACGTCTCGCTGTCTCTAGCCAAACGGTAGCGGAATTCCAGCAAATTGCACAAGGAATTTCTCTGCAAGCCGCCGTCGAGGAAATCGGCAAAATTCTCCTGCAAGCAAAGGTGGGTGGGGTGCAACAGTCTGCATGTACGATGAAAGTGCAGGGGATGCTTGACAAAGAGCTTTCTCTGGTCCTCTCCACCCAGCAGGAAATGTTGGCTCTCAAGCACAAGCCAGCATCTCAGTGCTTCGTGGGATAGGTCTGGGAGGGGTATTCATAACCAGAGCCTAAGTGATGAGGATGGGTTTGACAATTTCCTTTTTGTGCATAATTTGGATAGTATACGTTGTGCTAGGACAATGATTCTCAACCTTCCTAATGTCGCGACCCCTTAATACAGTTCCTCATGTTGTGGTGACCCCCAAACATAAAATTATTTTCGTTGCGACTCCATAACTGTGATTTTGCTCCTGTTATGAATCGTCATGTAAGTATCTGATATGGAGGTTGTATTTTCATTCACTGGACCAAATTTGGCACAAATACTCCATACACCCAAATTTGACTACTGTTGGGGTTGGGAGGAATTGTTTTTGTCATTTGGGAGTTGTAGTTGCTGGGATTTGACTGTTCACCTACAGTCATAGAGAATTCTGAACTACACCAACGATGGAATTGAACCAAACTTTGGCACATACAATTTATTTATTTTGAACATTTCTACCCCGCCCTTCTCAACCCCTGGGGGGACTCAGGGCGGCTTCCAATTGGCAATAATTCAATAAAATACAGAATAACAAATATAACAATTAAACATGAACATTAATAAATAAAGATTAAAACAGTATACTTATACTCTGATTAGCTATTGCCCGTCTGGTGGCTGTTTAGCTAGCCATCTACTAATGCTTACTCCGCTTAATTTATCCAAATCCTCTTCCATGCCATAGTCAAACATTATCAATTGTCCTTTAACCTGATTGCCCGAAGGCCTGGTCCCACAGCCACGTTTTAACCTTTTTTCTAAAGGTGAGGAAGGATGACGATGATCTAATTTCCCCGGGGAGCAAATTCCACAGGTGGGGGGCCACCACTGAGAAGGCCCTGTCCCTCGTCCCCGCCAAGGGTGTTTGAGACAAAGGCAGGGCTGAGAGCACGACCTCCCCAGAAGATCTTAAGCTCCGAGGTGGGACGTAGAAGGAGACACGTTCGGACATACAACTCCCATGACCAACAGCAATTACTGGAGGGTTTGGTGGGCATTGACCTTGAGTTTTGGAGTTGTAGTTCACCTACATATAAAGAGCACTGTGGACTCAAACAATGATAGATCCGAACCAAAACTTGGCACAAATACTCAATATGCCCAAATGTGAACACCGGTGAAGTTTGGGGAAAATAGACATTGACATTTGGGAGTTGTAGTTTCTGGGATTTATTGTTCACCTACAATCAAAGAGCATTCTGAACCCCACCAACAATAGAAATAGGCCAAGCTTCCCACACAGAACCCTCAATGCCTTAAAGCAGGGGTCCTCAAACTTTTAAAACAGAGGGCCAGGCCACAGTCCCTCAAACTGTTGGAGGGCCAGGTGATAATTTGAAAAAAACATGAATGAATTCCTATGCACACTGCACATATCTTATCTGCAGTGCAAAAAACACTTTAAAACAATACAATAACTTAAAAAATAATTAAAATGAACAATTTTAACAAAAATTTTAACAAATATAATATTTTAATGGGAAGTGTGGGCCTGCTTTTGGCTGATGAGATAGGATTGTTGTTGTATGCTTTCAAGTCGTTTCAGACTTAGGTTGACTCAGAGCGAGGGCCGGGTAAATGACCTTCCAAGGTGGAGTGTTTTTTGGTTCAAGGATTTGCCACCTGTTTCCAAAAAAGAAGAGAAGGACAGGCAGAAAGATCGTCAGCCTTCTCTGCCAAATGGGTTCCTAAGACCATCAGAAATATATATTTTCTGATGGGTTTTGGCAACCTCTCTGAACCCCCCTCCCATGGGCCCCAACCCCCAGGCTGGGAAACACTGTTAGGACATAATTTCTCCTTTCATGGAAGGAGACCTGAATTATCATTCATATAGTAAACAAGTAAGCAACTATGAGAAGCCCAGGGAGCCAATGCTTGTATACATAAAAGGTCTTTAAAAGGTTTCGTTGCTTTGGCTGGCTTTCAGCAATTGCCTTTTGGGTGGAATCTATTATAGGCAGCTTTGGTGAACCCCTTTCCTGTAGACCAGGCACGGGCAAACTTTGGCTGTTCCTCCAGAGGAGCCCAAAAGCAAAGGCGGAAAGATGGGTATGATGTTTGCGGTCTCAGTCTCCCAATCTATTCAAAACACCGTCTACATTGCTCAATGACAGGCATGGGTAAACTTTGGCCTTCCAGGTGTTTTGGACTTCAACTCCCACCATTCCTAACAGCCTCAGGCCCTTTCCTCTCAACAAAGGATTGCCCCAGGCACTGCCAGGCCATTCCATGCTAATCAAGGTGGTCAGTTGAAACATTCACACCTAGCTCCAGCAGACAAGAGTTCTTTGTCCCACCCTGGTCATTCCACAGATATATAAACCCATTTTCCTAGTTCCAACAGACCTCACTACCTCTGAGGATGCTTGCCATAGATGCAGGCGAAAAGTCAGGAGAAAATGCCTCTAGAACATGGCCATATAGCCCGAAAAAACCAACAACACAGTGATTCCGGCCATTAAAGCCTTCGAGAATACAGCAATTATACTTTTTAGAAGGTCACAGAGAAGGCATGGGCAAGCTTGGGCCCTCCAGGTGTTGTGGACTTCAACTCCCACCATTCCTAACAGCCTCAGGCCCTTTCCTTTTCCCCCTCAGCCGCTTAAGCAGGGGGAAAAGGAAAGGGCCTGAGGCTGTTAGGAATGGTGGGAGTTGAAGTCCACAACACCTGGAGGGAGGACCAAAGTTTGCCCATGCCTGACGTAGACAGAACAGCCAAAGCGATGGTTGCATCCCTGTGTCTCTTATGAGGCTGGTCTCCTCCTACCTGTAACTGATCCACCTGGAATTTCCTCCCGGCCATAGCGTTCAGGTGGTCCGACAGCACCGACAGGAAGCGCCGGATATCCGTCTGCAGGTACTTGTGAGCGATTTGCTCCAAAGGGATGAAGGGCGGGACAGAGTGGTGCAGGATCTGGACCGGCTGCTTGATGAGAAGGTCCAGGCGATAGGAGTCCAGGTAGGTGTTTTCAAAGGCAGTGCTGAGTTGCAGGCAGGCCCCGCGATGGGTCAGCCTCCCACTGAGGCCTACGGAAGGAGACCAACAGGTCAGAATTGCACTGCAGGGGAGATGTAAACACTAGATGCAGCTGCCACTCTACGAGGAGACTCTTCTCTTGGAATGTACTGGCCATTGATGCTTTGGCCTCCAGTCAACATATCGGCTCCTCTTTTTTTTAAGGCCACCCTCCTGTCACTTCTTTCTGTCCTTATCACCGGCTCACCTATCTCGATCTTGTTGAGTGAGTGGGCTTATTAATAAAAGACCCTCCTCATAAATGTACAGCAGAGTAACTTATCAGCAGCAGCATAACCCAGCACCAGTAAATATGGGTTGCTTACCTGCAACCTGAGTGGTCACCTGTGAATTCGCACCTATGGTAGTTTCTGTGCCTGAGCAGACAGCTTCGGAACCTTCTAGATAGATTTGAAAAATTTTCTGGTGGTTAGCCCTGTCCACTCTCCCCGTGTGAGCATAAATAGCCCATAGGCGGGGCTAACCTCCTCAGTTCTTTTCATCCGCCGCTTATGCAGCAGTTATGGAACTTCTCTCTGATCTTTGACTAGCTTTTATTTTTTTCTCTTCTTATTAAATTGTGTTACTGGTTTTGGTTTTCACCTGGACTACGCTACATATCAGGCCAATCATGGCATTTACCACCTCTTTTGTGTGTGTGTGTGTGTGGGGGGGAGTTTATTGACTCGAATGGGTGTGCTATGTGTCTTTGTCTATGGGCTTGCCTTTTCCTTCTGTGCCACGGAGAGACTTATGTTCCTCCTTCACCACCACCCACCTTGCACCAAGTGCATTAGAACTGCAGCTTTAAGCCCTGCTGTAGACCAAGCCTTCTTTACCTCAGATCATTAGAAGAGAACCACATCTAAGCCTTCGGCCATATTGGAAATTGGAACTGCCGAAGAGGCCCCCTTTATTTTTACCAAAATAACCAAAAGTAATTAAAGTAACCAAAAGTGATTAAAAAAGCAAAAACACAGAGACCATAGAATATTTTTCTTTATAGAAAAATAATATGGTTGCACTGCTTACAAGACCAAGGTTTCTACAACACGAATAAAGTTCTTTATACTTCCTTCTTTGCTTCCACACTAGGCTTCTTTCTCATGCAGATAAACAGCTTCACTCTCACAGAGCCTCTCCTCACAACAAACTTAGACAGAAGTTTCACAAAGTAACTTTACACACAGCAGCCTTCACAATGGAGCTTCACACACAATTGCCCTCAACCTGGGGCTTCTCTCACCAAAGCTTCTGAGAAGTCTACTAACACTGAGGCCTACCTCACACTGAGGCTTTTCTCCCACTGAGGCCTATCTCAGACTGAGGCCTTCCTCCCACTGAGGCAAACTAACATTGAGACCATCTCATACTGAAGCTTACTAACACCCTGAGGCCTTTCTCCCATTGAGACCTCTCACAGACTGAGGCTACTAAGCTACAGGCACACCTGCTTATATTGAACTAAAGCTTTTGCTGAGTCATTGCATCCAGTAGTTCTCAGCCTGTGGGCCCCCAGGTGTTTTGGCCTATAACTCCCAGAAATCTTAGCCAGTTTACCAGCTATTAGGATTTCTGGGAGTTGAAGGCCAAAACATCTGGGGACCCACAGGCTGAGAACCACTCATTTGACCCTTTCAGTGCTTGACTCACATTTTTGTAATTAAAAATATCTAGTCAATTTTTAATATTTCTGAGAGATCTCCTCCCCATTTTTGAGATCCAAAGGAACTAAGAAACTGCACAATGGTGCAAATAGGAAAGGCATGGGTTTGCCTAGAAGACCGGCATAAGTCAGTTCTCAGAAATGACAGAACCTGCACACTGAGGCTCAGCACACGAATATCCTCGTCTTGGAGCCACCTTCTCTATTTTCTAATTTGTGGCACTTCTTTTTCATACAGACGTGTATAAGGACAAGTACTTAGACAGGTAGAGAGGTTTTTGGCTGGAAACAGGAGGATGCTTTGAGGCTCCAAAAAGCTAAAACCCTTTCTAATATAGTAACTCATTTGATTCAATTTTAATGGTTTTAATTATATTCTTTTAAATGCCGAGCTGCTTCAAGAGTCCTGATTTTGGGAGAAAGCAGGATATGAAAATGTCAAATAGCAGCCACAGCCATGGAAAACCACTGCTTTTAGCCATTCACAATCCTTCAGTCTTACAAAAAGGCAAGGGCAAATCCCCTTGGAATAAATCTGCCAGAAAACCTACAGGATAAGATTACTATAGGCCAAGAGCTGACGTGATTTATTTATTTATCGTGTCAGTGCAACCAGTCGATTATGTTACATTTCTAACAGAGAGAGAGAAAAAAAGACAAAATATGAAAATCGTGAGTTTGGTAGTTGATTAAATGTCCTTTGACCAGTAGCTGGCCACTTGGAATGCCTCTGGTGTTGCTGCAAGAAGGTCCTCCATTGTGCATGTGGCTGGGCTCAGGTTGCATTGCAGCAGGTGGTCAGTGGTTTGCTCTTCTCCAGACTCGCATGTCGTGGATTCCACTTTGTGGCCCCATTTCTTAAGGTTGGCTCTGCATCTCGTGGTGCCAGAGCGCAGTCTGTTCAGCGTCTTCCAAGTCGCCCAGTCTTCTGTGTGCCCAGGGGAGAGTCTCTCATTTGGTATCAGCCATTGGTTGAGGTTCTGGGTTTGAGCCTGCCACTTTTGGACTCTCGCTTGCTGAGGTGTTCTGGCGAGTGTCTCTGTAGATCTTAGAAAACTATTTCTTGATTTAAGTCGTTGACGTGCTGGTTGATACCCAAACAGGGGATGAGCTGGAGATGTCTCTGCCTTGGTCCTTTCACTATTGGCTGCTACTTCCCGGCGGATGTCAGGTGGTGCAATACCGGCTAAGCAGTGTAATTTCTCCAGTGGTGTAGGGCGCAGGCACCCCGTGATAATGCGGCATGTCTCATTAAGAGCCACATCCACTGTTTTAGCTGATTTGATGACACACAAGAACAACAAAGACAACTGTGTAGTAGTGGTTTTCTTTCTTTGTACCACTGGGGAGCTTTGGAGAGCTGAACAGCAGGCTTTACAAAGTGGCTCATGGCTGACAGACCACAGACATCAGTTCTAGCTGAAGTGAGAAGGAAGGGATTCAATTCATCTTCAAGTCAAGGAACAGAGATTCTGGGATACCCTGTGCCTTCTTATGGCTCTGTTTTCCAAGCAAAAGGTACCCAAGTCAACAAGACAAGTCTCCTAGGCCTGCTGGGCAAAGGGGAGAGTCCAAGAGATGTAACTGTTGAACTCCAGGACAGGAAAAGCCCTCTGACTGTAAAACACCACACCGTTGAATGGAAAACAATGCTTTTATTGAAGATAATTAGAAAGCAGCAAGTAAAAAGCACTTAAAGAAATAGGTAAAGCCAATTAGGTAAGAACATAAGCAGGAGCAAAAATAGTCCAGGTTAAAGTTCAGCAAAGTCCATACAACAAAGTCCACACTTCTCTAATTTAATTCAGGAAAACAGAAAACATTAATCCAAGGCATAAGTCCAAAACATGAACAAGAAATCCTTAAACAAGAATCTTCCAAGCAAGGCTTCCATGAAACAAAAGACGAGAACTACACTTGATTCCAGCGATGCTTCATCTGACTATATTTCCCATATTTGGAACTTTTATGCCCTCGTTAAGCTATTCCACGCACTCAGGAATTGGTTTCGTTTTACTTGAGATCCCCTTATCTTTTTCTGTCGAAGCCTGGCAGATCGCCAAAGGCACTGTTCGGCCTCTCTGTTTTGACTAATTTCTTCTCTCCTATCTATCCCCCTACCAACCCCAGAGATTACTCCGGTCTGAAGACCAAAATCTGCTTGCAGTCCCTAACATCCTGACCAATCATTTGTCATCTACTAGGCATAGAGCCTTCTCAATCGTGGCCCCTTATTTATGGAATGCCTTGCCGGTTGAAACTCGAACCATCCGAGATCTATCTACTTTTCGGAAAGCCTGTAAGACCTTTCTTTTCTGACAAGCTTTTGATGGGTGAACAATCCGGGCTATGCCTATTCTCGCTGCCTATTGTTATGGTCATTTTAACGCTAATTGTATTGTTTTACTCTGTTTCTGTAAACTGCTCCGAGCCAAATTGGGAATAGTGGTATACAAGTTGAATAAATAAATTGAATAAATAAATAAATATTTGCTCATTAAGTCTTGCCAGGTGCCCAGTTGTTTTCAAGCCCCAAATCCTGGGAACCCTCTGATAGCAATTCAAGAAATTCAATACTATCTGTTGCACTCCCTTCAGGGACATTATCATGGGAAACTATGCACAGGGGTCTCCTGGTCCTTCTCTGCATCAGTATCATTGACCAAACCATTGCCATCTTGAAATTCATTGGCATCACTTCCCACATGCAAAGCACCCTGATCCTGAAACACAATCACAGGCTGAACCCCAACAGTACCTGTCAGATGGAAAACCCCCAGGAGGCCCTTAAGCGTCTCTGTCTTCCACTCCAAGAGGGCTTCCTGGCCGGTTTCTGTAGCATCACAGCTTGTGGTGTCTTGGCCTCCAACGAACTAAAAGAGACCAGAAGGACATAGCTCAGCTGGGTAGTGTCTACATCACCCTTGGAAGAGGTAACATTGGTCCGTGTGTTTTTGTTCTTTTTATCACTTGTTGCTACTGGTGCTGGGTCACGCTGCTGCTAACGTTATTCTGCTATACATTCATGGGGTGGGTCTTTTGTTAATAAGCCCACTCGCCCAACAACTTTGCCTTGTTGTGGAAACAAGGATTGGAGATAAACCTTCAGTGGAGACACCTTTTCAAGGTGCAGGTTATGATCTATAAAGCCCTAAATGGTTCGGGCCCCACCTATTGCATCTCCCTCTATGAAACAGCGTGAACTTTAAGATCTTCCAGGCAGGCCCTCCTTTCGCTCCCACCACCGTCACAAGCAAGGTTGGTGGGGACGAGAGAGAGGGCCTTCTCGGTGGTGGCCCCTCGCCTCTGGAACGCCTTTCCTGGAGAAATAAGACAGGCCCCATCCCTCCCCTCCTTTCATAAGAGTCTGAAAACCTGGTGGTTTAAACAAACCTTTGAGAATGACTAGTTCTAGCTCTGCCCCAGATACTGCGCCAACTGCGACCGTATCTCGTGAAGGCGGATCTGGCCAGGGTGGTCCATGCCTTAGTCACCTCCAGATTGGACTACTGTAATGCACTCTACGTGGGGCTGCCCTTGAAAACGGCCTAGAAATTCCAACTGGTCCAACGGGCGGTCGCCAGGTTGTTAACTGGTGCTCCTTACAGGGAGAGGTCAACCCTCCTGTTTAAGGAGCTCCATTGGCTGCCGTTCATTTTCCGGGCCCAATTCAAGGTGCAGGTGCTTACCTACAAAGCCCTAAACGGTTTGGGACCCATCTACCTGCGTGACCGCATCTCTGTATATGAACCCACACGATCTCTCCCATCATCTGGAGAGGCCCTGCTCACGATCCCACCTGCATCACAGGCGCGATTGGTGGGGACGAGGGACAGGGCCTTCTCGCTGGTGGCTCCACGACTGGAACTCACTCCCCAAGGACATCAGGCATGCCCCAACATTGGCAGTCTTCAGAAGGAGCTTGAAAACATGGATGTTCCAGTGTACCTTCCCAGATTAAGGAATCCCAAGCAATATGTCCCAAATGCACTTTACGAGAGAGTTAGAATTGTCTGCACACCCACTTACACCCCAAAATATCCATCCTTTTTCACCTGGTCATACCCAGATTTTTTTAAAAAAAATTAATCTTTACATTTGGCCTTGCCAGGTTTTAAAATTGCGTCGTGTTATTTTGTTCTTTTTTTGCTTTGCTATGAGTTATATATTGTTGTATTGTATTGTTGCGGTTGTGTTTTTTGTTCTGATGTATTTTGGGCTCGGCCTCTTGTAAGCCGCACTGAGTCCTGCGGCAGATGGTAGCGGGGTATAAATAAAGGTTTATTATTATTATTATTATGTTGAAATTGGCAATATCTTCTTCTACCAATTACCCAGGTCACGCTCTTCTATTAGGCCCTGTAAATGTACAGCCATAGACTCTACCTAATTTCCCGGGCCCTCTATAATCGCAGTAGCCTGGCCCAGCCTTTTAAACTGCCTTGATCAGACATGATTATTTTAAATATATGTGCTATTGTTTTTTACAGGAACAGCCTAGATTTTTTTAATGCACCGGGATTGTGGCACAGCAAGCTGAGTGTCAGCTGCATTAAGATCACTCTGACCAAAAGGTCATGAGTTCGAAGCCAGCCCGGGTTGGAGTGGGTTTCCAACCATTGTGTAGCCTGTTGTCGACCTTTGCAACCCGAAAGACAGTTGCATCTGTCAAGTAGGAAAATTAGGTACCACCTTAAAGTGTGGGGAGGCTAAATTAACTGATTTATGAGGCCATAAAGACTTCAGCAAAAGCATGCGGGGAATGCGGAAGTACTTCATCAGTGTCGCAGATGGAGGATGAAAGCGACAGCTCCCCTGGCGGCCAGAAAAAAGTTAAATAGCCTCTGTCTGTCTGTATATGTTGTATGTCAAAATTGGCATTGAATGTTTGCCATATATGTGTACACTGTAATCCGCCCTGAGTCCCCTGCGGGGTGGGAAGGGCGGAATATAAAAGCTGTAAATAAATAAATATATTGTCTTGTAAATGTTATGTTTATGCCATTTGTCTTGTAGGTATTGTTTATGTTACTTGGAAACCGCTCTGAGTCCCCTTGGGGAGATAGAGCGGTATAAAAATAAAGTTTTGTCGTTGTTGTTGTATCTATTATTAGAAAACTCTTCCGGAGAGTTTCCCTTCCGAGGGGTAGATTTCTCATTTCCTGTTGTCTCAGCCCTGTTCTTAACTATGAGGTGCTTGTAAGTGGGATGTTTGTAACTTGAGGACAATCTGTATATTGCTTTCTTGACCCTGCCCTCTACTCGTGGGTTGTATTTGGGAGAAAGGAACGACATCAACTCCACTAAGTTATAAATGTTTTGGGTCGCTGTGAGTTTTCCAGGCTGTTTGGCCATGTTCCAGAAGCATTCTACCCCTCTATTCTGCTCTGGTTAGACCACACCTGGAATATTGTGTCCAATTCTGGGCACCACAATTCAAGAGAGATATTGACAAGCTGGAATGTGTCCAGAGGAGGGACTAAAATGATCAAGGGTCTGGAGAACAAGCCCTATGAAGAGCGGCTTAAGGAGCTGGGCATGTTTAGCCTGAAGAAGAGAAGGCTGAGAGGAGATATGATAGCCATGTATAAATATGTGAGAGGAAGCCACAGGGAGGAGGGAGCAAGCTTGTTTTCTGCTTCCCTGGAGACTAGGACGCGAACAATGGCTTCAAACTACAAGAGAAGAGATTCCATCTGAACATGAGGAAGAACTTCCTGACTGTGAGAGCCGTTCAGCAGTGGAACTCTCTGCCCCGGAGTGTGGTAGAAGGCTCCTTCTTTGGAAGCTTTTAAACAGAGGCTGGATGGCCATCTGTCAGGGGTGATTTGAATGCAATATTCCTGCTTCTTGGCAGAATGGGGTTGGACTGGATGGCCCATGAGGTCTCTTCCAACTCTTTGATTCTATGATTCTCTCCTGATGTTCAATGTTTTGCATGATGCCTAAAACCCACTGGTGTCTTTGGCTCTGTGTGCGCCATGTGCTCACCTGAGAGCGACACACACCCAGTTTGGTCCTGAGCACATCCCTCTGGCGCCGCAACTCCTTGATTCTCCGCTTCATCCTGGCCGTGTCTTCCTCCTGAGTCTTCAGTTCTCCCCGTTTCAGCGCAACTTCGTGGGCAGCAGCCTCCAGCTTCTCCAGGTGGGATAAGACACCTGCAAAAAGAAGGCAAAATGAGCCGTCGTTCAAACAGTTCGCAGACAGACAGAATGACATTAAATCAGGCACGGGGCAAGCTTGGGCCCTCCAGATGTTTTGGACTTCAACTCCCACCATTCCTAACAGCCTCGGGCCCTTTCCTTTCCCCCCTCAGCCGCTTAAGCCTGAGGCTGTAAGGAAAGAGCCAGAGGCTTTTAGGAATGGCGGGAGTTGAAGTCCAAAACACCTGGAGGGCCCAAGCTTGCCCTGTGCCTGATCTATATGCTGCCTGCAGTGCTGCACCCCTCATTTGCCCCTGGGAACTGACCCAGGCCCCACCAAGTTGGGATTGCATTGTATTATACAAAGGGGCAGCCACAATTCAAGAATGATATGGGAAAGCTGGAAGTTGTTCAGAAGGACAAGAAAAATGCTCAAAGGTCTGGAAGCCAAGCCCTCAAGAACGGAAAACAGAATATTGGAGGACAGGAAAAGGGATTTAAGGATGGGCTCAAAGCCAACCTTAAAAACTCTGGCATAGACACTGAGAACTGGGAAGCCCTGGCCCTTGAGCGCTCCAGCTGGAGGTCAGCTGTGACCAGCAGTGCTGCAGAATTTGAAGAGGCGAATGGAGGGTGAAAGGGAGAAACGTGCCAAGAGGAGGGCGCGTCAAGCCAACCCTGACCCACCGCCAGTACACCGACTTGGAAGACAATCCTACTCAGACAACGAGGGATCGCCTAAGTAAGTAAGTAACTGAGTATATTTGGCTTGGCAAAAAGAAGGCTGAGAGGGGACAGGATAGCCACGTGTAAATAAATAAATTTATTTATCTATTTACTATATTTATATACCGCTCCGAGTCACCTCTGGGCTGAGCAGAGTGGTATATAGATATCTATATAAATAAAAATGTAATGTTTGTTTGTGAGATTAACATAACTAAAAAAACCATTGAACGAATTGACACCAAATTTGGACACAATATACCTATCAGCCCAATGAGTGACCATAACTCATAAAAACACTGAAAAACACAGCGGAAGGGACTTCAAAAGCCAAAAAAAGCAAAAAGATGCTACAAGCGCATGTGCAAAAACGACTGCCCAGCAAACAAAACACACAATAGCATATCCACACTCTCTTCCGGACTACAGCTCCCAGCATCCCCTAGAGCCCTTTAGGAGAGGAAGATGATCCAAATGCATTGCTACCAAAGCTATAGGAGGAAAAGAAAAGAAAGTAAAGAAAATAGGAAGAAAAATAGAGATTAAAACAGGAGGAAAAATAGGAAGAAAAATAGGAATTAAAATAGGAAGAAAAGTAGGAAAAAATAGAGAAAATAGGAAGAAAAATAGAAATTAAAATAGGAAGAAAAATAGAGATTAAAATAGGAATAAATATAGAAATTGAAAATAGGAATAAAAATAGAAATTAAAAAAAGAACTCCCTCTGGTAAACAAAAAACACACTAGCATATCCACACTCTCTTCCGGATTACAGCTCCCAGCATCCCCTAGACCAGGCCCTTTAGGAGAGGAGGATAATCCAAATGCACTGCTTCCAAGATGCAAGCTTTTTTCTCCTTGGATTTCTTCGAGAGCATCCCAATCACTGCATAATTCCAATGTCTTATTCCTGGACTGCAACTCCCAGCAGTCCTCCAGACAGATGGATAAGGAGGACTGCTGGGAGTTGCAGTCCAAGAATAGGTAGAGAAGGAAGGAAGGGGAGAAAGAGGAAGGGAAAGAAAAGGTGGAGATGGAAGGGAAGAAGGAAGGAAGGAAGGAAGGAAGGAAGGAAAGGAGAGAGAAGAGAAGGAGAAAGAGAAGAGAGAAAGAAAGAAAGAAAGAAAGAAAGAAAGAAAGAAAGAAAGGGAAGAGGAAGGGAAGCAAGGAGAGAAAGAAAGAAAGAAGAAAAAGATGGAGGGAAGGTTGGCTACAGGAATGCACGGTGGGTACAGCTATTAGTAAATAAATAAATATCAGAAATCATGTCATATTGAGAAGGAGGGGGCAAGATTGTTTTTTGCTGCTCTAGAGACTTGGACACAATACAGCAATTGATTCAAATGGCAGGAGATGCAAACTAAACATTAGGAACCACTTCCTAGTAGTTATTGCTGTTTGATGGTGGAATATGCTGTTGTTTGGAAGTCCAGGGGAATCTCCTTCTGTTTCTTTTTAAGTTGCTAGAAGGCACCTGTGCTTCGACTGGATGTTCCGGCATGGCAGAATACGGTTGGACTGAATGGCTCGTCTCCCATTGAGTCTATTTTTCACAATATCTGTTGAAGTCCATATCCTGACATGACTAAGATATGCCATCAAGAGGACTCCAAAAAGATGCTGCTAAATCCAAAACAATCCCCTGTATTCTGCTGTTTGTCAACTTACCTTTCTGTAAGGAAGCTCTGTTTTCACCCATTTTCGACATAAGGTGAAGAGTGCTTCTCTGCTGGAATGGAGTTTCCTTCACTGAACGTAGGGACCTGGCACAAAGAGAAAAGAGTCAATGCTTTTACAAAGGTATTGATATTCTTACCAAAACAAATACACAGCAACTGGAATGAAACAAATCGTACAATAGAGGCAGATGGCTAAAAACTGAACTATTGGAAGCCTCGTTCAGAGAGTGATGAGCATCAACTGAAATGATCTTGACACCAGATAAAAGCCAACAGCTTTTTATTAGTAATATTGCATGTAATATATAATATACAATTATTATATTGTACTATATTACTATGACTCCAGCAATACATGGAGCGAGAGTTGCCAGATGTTCAAGCTGGGTTTAGAAAAGGTAGAGGAACGAGAGACCAAATTGCCAATATCCGCTGGATAATGGAGAAAGGCAGGGAGTTTCAGAAAAACATCTACTTCTTGCTTCATTGACTATTCTAAAGCCTTTGACTGTGTGGATCATAATAAATTGTGGCAAGTTCTTGGTGGGATGGGCATCCCAAGCCACCTTCTCTCTCCTGAGGAATCTGTACAAGGACCAAGTAGCAACAGTCAGAACTGACCACGGAACAACAGACTGGTTCAAGATTGGGAAAGGCGTCCGGCAAGGCTGCATACTCTCACCCAACCTTTTTAACTTGTATGCAGAACACATCATCATGTGCGGGGCTTGATGAGCTGTGGTTGGGGCGTATATTTGGCTGGAAGAAACATTAACAACCTCAGATATGCAGATGACACCACTCTGATGGCCGAAAGCGAGGAGGAGCTGAGGAGCCTTCTAATCAAGGTGAAAGAAGAAAGCGCAAAAGCTGGGTTGCAGCTAAACATCAAAAAAACCAAGATTATGGCAACAAGAATGATTGACAACTGGGAAATAGAGGGAGAAAATGTGGAAGCAGTGACAGACTGTATTTCTAGGTGCAAAGATTACTGCGGCTGCAGACTGTGGCCAGGAAATCAGGAGACGCTTCCTTCTTGGGAGGAGAGCAATGTCCAGTCTCCATAAAATAGTAAAGAGTAGAGACATCAGACTGGCAACAAAGATCCATTGCCTAGTCAAAGCCATGGTCTTCCCTGTAGTCACCTACGGAGGTGAGAGCTGGACCTTAGGGAAGGCTGAGCGAAGGAAGAGAGATGCTTTTGAGCTGTGGTGTTGGAGGAAAGTGCTGAGAGTGCCTTGGACTGCGAGAAGATCCAACCAGTCCATCCTCCAGGACATAAAGCCCGACTGCTCATTGGAGGGAAGGATACTAGAGCCCTTCTTTTTTGGCCACATCATGAGGAGACAGGAAAGCCTAGAGAAGACAATTATGCTGGGGAAAGTGGAAGGAAAAAGGAAGAGGGGCCGACCAAGGGCAAGATGGATGGATGGCATCCTTGAAGTGACTGGACTGACCTTGAAGGAGCTGGGGGTGGTGACGGCCAACAGGGAGCTCTGGTGTGGACTGGTCCATGAGGTCACAAAGAGTCGGAGACGACTGAACGAATGAACAACATAATATACAATTACTAAATTGTACTATATTAGTATACCACAATACATAGAATACACTACCTATATACATATGTGTGTGTGTGTATACATCATATATTATCAGTAGTAAAATTATATTTAATATATTAGTATAACTACATTCCAATACCAGTATGTATTGTGTATGTATGTACGTATGTGTGTATGTATTTATATGTTTATTTATGTATGTATGCATGTATGTATATATATATAAATATGTATGTATATATATATAAATATATGAAGCCAGAACCTAAATGAGGTTAAATTTATTTAGATTTACCAATTGTTTGAGAAAAGTCAGACAGGAACTACAAAGTTTGAAGAGCAGTTATTAAAATAAAAATAATAATAATATATTACTATTAAATAATTAAATTAAAATTATTATTATATAATTAAATAACATATTAAATATATTATTATTATTTTAATAACTGCTCTTTGATAATAATAATATATTATTATAATAATTAAATATAATTATTATATAATTAAATAATATATTAATATATATTAAATAATATATATTATATATATTATATTATATAATTAATATATATCAAATAATATATTAAATAATTAAATTAATAATTATTTAATTAAATAATTATTAAATACATATATCAAATATATTATTATTATTTTAATAACTGCTCTTCGATAATAATAATATATTATTATGAAATAATAAAATTAATCATTATTATTATGTAATTAAATAATATATCAAATATATATTAAATAATATATATTAATATATATTATATTATATATTAAATATATATCAAATATATTAAATAATTAAATTAATAATTATTATATAATTAAATAATATATCAAATATATTATTGTTATTTTAATAACTGCTCTTCGATAATAATAATATATTATTACGAAATAATTAAATTAATCATTATTATTATGTAATTAAATTATATATTAAATATTAAATATATTATTATAATATATTATATATTAAATATATTATTAATAATAAAACAATCCCATTCCTAATATTATATTAAACATAAATAGAAACTTGAATTCCTGACAGACCTGATGGATGGCAACGGATGCTCCAAACGGTCAAAAAACCCGCGCGGAAGGAAGGAAAGGCCAAGCACCGGAAAGGCGTCATTCTCTTTCCTGACGTACGGAAGTCACCAAAGATGGCGGCGCGCGTGCTGATACAGTACGTGGTGCTGAGAGGCGACTTGCGGAGGGAGCCCTTTTCCTGGCCGATGGGGGCTACGGTGGCCCAGGCGTGCCACGCCGCAATCGCCGCCGTCCACGCGCACTACGCGCACCCAGACACAGCGGAGTACTTAGCGCAAGGCGGCAGTATGAGAACTGTAGTGCTTGAGGTGGGTGAAGGAAGAGAGGCGCATGCGCAGGGAAAAGGGGGAAAAAGGCGGGGCTTGGTTCCCTAGGGAACGGGAGAGCCAATAGGCGCCGCGGGGAGCGAGAGAGAGAGAGAGAGAGAGAGAGAGAGATAGAGAGAGAGCCAATAGACGCCTCTTTCAACCAACTGGGGCCCTCCAGGGGTTTTGGACTTCAACTCCCACAATTCCTAACAGCCGGCACGGCTGTTAGGAATTGTGGGAGTTGAAGTCCAAAACCCAAGTTGGGACTTGAGCTATGTATGGCATTATGATCTTATTACTATGATCAAAGCAATTATATTTAATATATTAGTATTACTATTTTACAATGTTATGATATATATTCTTATATTGTATTATTATTATACTGTATTACATTATATTATCAATATGTTGTATTATATTATATATTATTATATATTATTATATTATAATAAATCAATATTATATATTATATATTAGGATACTATATTGTATTATTAGCCTAACACAATATTACAATTATATATTACTAAATTTCATATGATACATGATATTATATAATATATTATTATATATTATTATATATTATAATATAATATATTATTATATCAATATTATATATTATGATAATATAATATATGTTGTATTATTAGCCTAACACAATATTAGAATTATATATTACAAAATTTCATATTACTATTATCAGTAGCAATTATATTTAATATATTAATATTACTATATTACAATATTATATATTTTAATATTGTATTATTATTATACTGTATTACATTATATTATCAATATGTTGTATTATATATTATATTATATAATATATTATTATATATTATTATATTATATCAATATTATATATTACGATAATACAATATATTGTATTATTAGCCCAACACAATATTACAATTATATATTACTATATTTCATATTACTATTATCAGTAGCAATTATGTTTAATATATTAGTATTACTATATTACAATATTATGATATATTATTATATTGTATTATTGCTATACTGTATTTTATTGTATTATCAATATGATATATTATATTATATATTATATTATTATATTATAATATATCAATATTATATATTATGATAATACAATATATTGTATTATTAGCCCAACACAATATTACTATTATATATTACTAAATTCCATATTACTATTATCAGTAGCAATTATATTTAATATATTAATATTGCTATATTACAATATTATGATATATTCTTATATTGTATTATTGTTATACTGTATTATATTATATTATCAATATGATACATATTATGTAATATATTATAATATATCAATATTATATATTCTGATAATACAATATATTGTATTATTAGCCTAACACAATATTAGACTTATATATTACTAAATTTCATATTACTATTATCCGTAGCAATTATATTTAATATATTAGTATTACTTGTTGTTGTTCATTCGTTCAGTCGTCTCCGACTCTTCGTGACCTCATGGACCAGCCCACGCCAGAGCTCCCTGTCGGCCGTCACCACCCCCAGCTCCTTCAAGGTCAGTCCAGTCGCTTCAAGGATGCCATCCATCCATCTTTCCCTTGATCGGCCCCTCTTCCTTTTACCTTCCACTTTCCCCAGCATAATTGTCTTCTCTAGGCTTTGCTGTCTCCTCATGATGTGGCCAAAGTACTTCAACTTTGTCTCTAGTATCTTTCCCTCCAGTGAGCAGTCGGGCTTTATTTCCTGGAGGATGGACTGGTTGGATCTTCTCGCAGTCCAAGGCACTCTCAGCACTTTCCTCCAACACCACAGCTCAAAAGCATCGATCTTCCTTCGCTCAGCCTTCCCTAAGGTCCAGCTCTCACATCCGTAGGTTACTACAGGGAATACCATGGCTTTGACTAGGCGGATCTTTGTTGCCAGTCTGATGTCTCTACTCTTCACTATTTTATCGAGACTGGACATTGCTCTCCTCCCAAGAAGTAAGCGTCTTCTGATTTCCTGGCCACAGTCTGCATCTGCAGTAATCTTTGCCCCTAGAAATACAAAGTCTGTCACGGCCTCCACGGTTTCTCCTTCTCTTTTCCAGTTGTCAATCATTCTTGTTGCCATAATCTTGGTTTTTTTGACGTTTAGCTGCAACCCGGCTTTTGCGCTTTCTTCTTTCACCTTGATTAGAAGGCTCCTCAGCTCCTCCTCGCTTTCGGCCATCAGAAGTGGTGTCATCTGCATATCTGAGGTTGTTAATTTTTCTTCCAGCAATTTTCACCCCAGCTTTGCATTCATCAGCCCCGCACATCGCATGATGTGTTCTGCATACAAGTTAAAAAGGTTGGGTGAGAGGATGCAGCCTTGCCGTACGCCTTTCCCAATCTTGAACCAGTCTGTTGTTCCGTGGTCAGTTCTGACTGTTGCTACTTGGTCCTTGTCCAGATTCCTCAGGAGAGAGACAAGGTGGCTTGGGATGCCCATCCCACTAAGAACTTGCCACAATTTATTATGATCCACACAGTCAAAGGCTTTAGAATAGTCAATGAAGCAGAAGTATATGTTTTTCTGAAACTCCCTGCCTTTCTCCATTATCCAGCGGATATTGGCAATCTGGTCTCTCGTTCCTCTGCCTTTTCTAAACCCAGCTTGAACATCTGGCAACTCTCGCTCCATGTATTGCTGGAGTCTTCCTTGCAGGATTTTGAGCATTACCTTACTGGCATGAGAAATAAGGGCCACTGTACGGAAGTTTGAGCAGTCTTTCGCATTTCCCTTTTTTGGTATGGGGATATAAGTTGATTTTTTCCAGTCTGATGGCCATTCTTGTGTTTTCCATATTTGCTGGCATATGGCATGCATCACCTTGACAGCATCATCTTTCAAGATTTTAAACAGTTCAGCTGGGATCCCGTCGTCTCCTGCTGCCTTGTTGTTAGCAATGCTTCTTAAGGCCCATTCAACCTCACTCCTCAAGATGTCTGGTTCTAATTCATTCACCACACCGTCAAAACTATCCTCGATATTTATTATCCTTCCTATACAGATCTTCTGTATAGTCTCGCCACCTTCTCTTGGTCTCTTCAGCTTCTGTTAGGTCCCTGCCATCTTTGTTTCTTATCATACCAATTTTTGCCTGAAATTTACCTCCAATGTTTCTAATTTTCTGGAAGGGGTCTCTTGTCCTTCCTATTCTGTTGTCTTCTTCCACTTCCATGCATTGCTTATTTAAAAATAGTTCCTTATCTCTTCTGGCTAACCTCTGGAATTGCGCATTTAACTGGGCATATCTCCCCTTATCCACTGTTTCCTTTTTCTTTCCTCCTTTCTTGGGCTACTTCCAGTGTCTCAGCAGACAACCATTTTGCCTTCTTGGTTTTCTTTTTCTTTGGGACGTACTTTGTTGCCGCCTCCTGAACAATGTCGCGGACTTCTGTCCATAGTTCTTCTGGGACTCTGTTTACTAAATCTAGTCCTTGAAATCTGTTCTTCACTTCCACTGTATATTCGCTAGGAATGTTAGTGAGATCATATCTAACTGGTCTGTGTATTTTCCCTGATCTCTTTAGTTTTATTCTAAATTGGGCAATAAGAAGTTCGTGATCTGAGCTACAGTCAGCCCCAGGTCTTGTTTTCACCGACTGGATGGATGTCCGCCACCTTTGGCTGCAAATGATGTAGTCAATCTGATTTCGGTGTTGACCGTCTGGTGAGGTCCATGTGTAAAGCCGTCTTTTAGGTTGTTGGAAGAGAGTATTCGTTATACACAGCGAGTTTTCCTGGCAAAATTCTATCAGCCTGCGTCCCGCTTCATTAGTATTACTAATTAGTATTACTATATTACAATATTATGATATATTCTTGTATTGTTATTATACTGTATTACATTACAATATTATCAATATGATATATTATGTTATATATTATAATATATTATATTATAATATATCAATATTATATGTTGTATATTATGATGTGGGTGAACTACAACTCCTAAACTCAAGGTCAATGTCCACTAAACCCTTCTACTGTTTTCTGTTGGTCTTGGAAGTCCTGTGTGCCAATGAGATTTTGGCCTGCATGAATAGGAGTCTAGTTCCTAGATCCAGGGAAGTTATGCTCTTTATGTTTTGATGATAGAACCAATTAGGCAATGACATTGATAAACCAGGAACATAGCGGGATCTGGATCCAGAAACTGAGTTATATGGCAGTGTAGATGGGACCACAGAAACGGGGCTAATGGTTGAGGCACCAAAAGGTATGTTGATCAGTGTAATAATAATAATTTGGCCATCTATTATGCTAGACTTTTGCTGTGTATGTCATGGAAATTATAGGTTGCTTACCTGTAACCGTAGTTCCCTGAAAGTCAGTCCAATCAAAACACAATCTGAAAGCTCGCAAGAGTGAAGGTTCTCCAGCTGCTTGCAAAGCGGCAGATGAAGAGAACTGGTGGCTAGCCCCGCCCACGGGCTATATATATATATATACTCGGGGGAGTGGGTGGGGCGAGGCAGGAGTAAAAATGTCTATTTTCTAGGTTCTGAAAGCTGTACTGCGCAGGTGCAGCGATACCAAAAGTGCGATTCACAGTTGACTACGAAAGGAAACCCTGATTATGATTTTCCCTTCTTCTTCTTAGGCTCCCGATGAGCCTGCCTTGAGTGCCTTGGCAGACACTCTGCAGCAGAATGGGATTGACCACAAGGTCTGGGTGGAGCAGCCAGAAAACATACCCACCTGCGTGGCCTTACGCCCGTATCCGAAGGAGAGCGTGCACCACCTCCTCAAGACCTTCAAGCTCCTGGAATGACCACCTTCAGTCTTAGACATGGACAGCGTTTTCCAGGAGAAAAGAGTACAACTGGGTCCTCCATGACTTACGGCAAAGCCACTCGAAGGTACATCTTCTGAAGCGGTCTTCTTCTCGGTGTAGGATGTTGGACACTATTGCAACTTCAGGCCCAGAGCTTCTGTACAACATGGTTATTAAATGGGTGGCTTTTGTGCTCCTTGCAAGGCTTCTTATATCTTTACAGTATGCTTTAAGGCAGGGGTGTCAGGACTCATTTTCATCAAGGTCAACATCATAGAGAATTGGAGGAGACCAAATAAGACATCTAGTCCAACCCCAATCTGAAATTATGCAGGTAAAGCACCAACAAAGCACCCCTGATAGATGGCCATCCAGCCTCCAAATAAGAAGCATCCACTACACTCCGAGGCAGAGAGTTCCACTGTTGAACAGTCAGAACGTTCTTCCTAATGTTTAGGTGGAATCTCCTGTCTTGCCATTTGAACCCATTGCTCTTCTAGTCTCCAGGGCAGTGGAAAACAAGCTTGCTCCCTCTTCCTTTAYGGCATCCCTCCAAATACTTAAACATGTATTGTTGAATGCTTTCATGGCYGGCATCACTGGGTTGTTGTAGATTTTTCGGGCTGTATGGCCATGTTCTAGAAGCATTCTCTCCTGATGTTTCACCTGCATCTGTGGCAGGCATCCTCAGAGGTTGTGAGGTCTGTTGGAAACTAGGAACTAGGAACATTGGGTTTTAYATTGATGAGGATTGGAAATATATTGTATAGCAARAACACTTTTCCTCTGGGTGGATCTTGGTCTTGACTCAGTCTTGCAGCTCTTCTGATGTTTGTGGTGGAGTCTCCATTGGCCTACCTCCAACAGACAAGAGTTCTTTCTCCCACCTAGGACATTCCACAGATATATAAACCCCATTTCCCTAGTTTCCAACACACCTCACAACCTCTGAGAATGCCTGCCATAGATGCAGGCAAAACGTCAGGAGAGAATGCTTCTACAACATGGCCAGACAGCCCAAAAAACCTACTTAAACATGGCTCTTATATCCCCTTCTCTCAACCTTCTTTTCTGGAGGCTAAACAGACCCAGCTCTTTAAGCCGCTCCTCAGGGGGATTCGTGGTCTCCAGACCTTTGATCATTTCAGTCCTTCTCCTCTGAACGTCATCTTATGGTTGCTTCCAAAGGCCTGTTGAATGTATGGCAACAGAGAGCCTACTATAATTTCTTAACATAGTGGTTGGTGCTCTTAAGTTTTTATACAATTTGGGTCCTTAGATCTTAGTGGATGAAATTCCCCGCACTGTATTGTCGAAGGATTTCACAGCTGGAATCACAGGGGTATTGTGTGTTTTCCAGGCTGTATGGTCGTGTTCCAGAAGAATTTTCTCCTTACGTTTCACCTGCATCTCTGGCTGGCATCTTCAGAGGATCCTCTAAAGATGCCAGCAATACATACAAGCAAAATGTCAGAAGAAAATGTTGCTAGAACACAGCCATACAGCCCAGAAACCACCCCAATTCCCCATACTTTGGATTATCTGCCATGCTGGGTGGGATTGATGGGAATTGCAAACCAACAGCACTTGTGTCTCTGAGGTTGGGGAAAGGTTAAAAGACATTTTAACACCGGACATCCTTTCCACGAGCCTATTATCTCAATCCAAACACCACTCTCCTGACTCAACAAACCCAATGAAGCCTTCCAGATGTTCTTGTATCCCAACTCCCATCAGCTCTACTCAAAGATGGCTAATGAAAAGGAATATAGGAGTTATAGTCCTGCATCTGGAGGGCCACTTAAAGACATAGCAGGCCTTGAGTTTGAGTCATGTGGTTTAAGGAAATTTGGGGGCATCTTGGGTCGGTTTCAAGGTGCGGGGGCAATGCTATGCTTATTAAAACTCATCTTTGGTTGGGTTTCAAGTCTAAGGGTGCTTCCAGGCAGCACTAAATCACAGGGTTTAAATAGGGGCAAAAAATTCCAGTACTTCAGAAGATGTCCACATGCAGACCTGTTGGTCCTGGGATTTCTGCTTTCGTTGTCCAGATTTGATGCTTTATGGCGAGATTTAGAGGCTTCCAAGACGTCCAGCATGGGATTTCTGATGGAAACATTGGCGTTTGTTTAAAAAACCCTCAAGATCCGGATATGCGGAGAATCAATGCAGCGAATGACTGCAAAAGTTCTGTTCTTTGTCCTGGCCAGAGAGACTGTGCCCTTTGGACGTTTCATGAAGTATCTGCTACACAAACAAAGTTTTTGGGGTAGGACCACTTCTGCCCAAGTCAGCACTGCACAATCAAACAGGAACAGACACTTTCAAGCCAGGAACAGAACTTTGTCATTATTGACACTTTTTACAACCTGGCTATCTGGCCATCTGTCCAGACAGATTTGGTTGTGTACTTGCAGTATCAAATAACAGTGTGCTGTTCCTGTGTTATACATGACTGTTCCTGATTGAACTTATTGTGAAAAGATGTGCATTGTTGACTAGGAGGCCACCACTTTGTCCTGGCCAGAGAAAATGTAACCCCAAACATTTCATGAAGTTTCTGGCACACAAACAAAGTTTTTGCCTTCTACTCAAGTGTCACCTTCTCTTTAGGAACTGACCCATCAGGAACAAACATCTAAAACCGAGGAACAAACCCAGATAAAAAATATCCCGTGATTTCCGATTGCAGGGACATACAGACATGTGAAGATCTGCATATTCGGCTCAAACCGCGATATTCCCGCACCTGGAAATCTCGTGTTTTTTGTTTTTTGCAGCAGCTGCTTCTGTGTTTACAGGGAATGGCATCTGGCCACCCTCCTGTTTGCTTTTTTTTTTTTTTTAAATAATCTTTATTGAAGTTTTTCATACAAGTATGTATATAGGTAAAAAGTAAAAGGGGGGAAGTAGAGAAAGAAAGAAAAATAGGGAGTAGTGCTTAGCATAGGAAGAGAAGAAAGAGTAGGAGAGAGTGGGGCGGAGTGGGAAGGTGATAAAGAGATGGGAAGGGAGGATGAAGAGAGGGGGGGAGAAAGAAAAAAAGAAAAAAAAAGAAAAAAAAGAGATTAAAATAAAAGGCCAAAAGTAGGAGTATCCCGACCTCCTGGTGTCTTCCGAAAATCTTCTGTTCATTCTGTTCAATCTTATCCCAATGTAAGAGATAAAAATAGAAAAAATAATAATAAAGTTCTTTATTTTTCTTCTCTTCTAATTTTCTTTCCCCTCTTCTTTGGTTTTCCTTCTTAATTTCTCCTTTTCCCTCTAGATCATTGTCTCTTTCTTCTTTTCCCTTAAGTATTCAGTGACGTCTTTCCAGTCTGTTTCTTTTCTTCCAGTTTCCTTGTTTTTCAATAGTAGAAAAGTAAGTCTGTCTAGGTTACTAATGTCCAGCATTTTAATTCTCCATTCATCTTCTTCTGGTGTTTCTGTTTGCCTCCGTTTTTTTGCATAACACATCCTTGCGGCCGTTATCGCTAAAAATAGTATTTTGTCTTTATTTTTTTCTATATTGTTATCGTACAGTAGGAACAGCTCTGGTTTCATTGGTAATTTTATTTTTAACATATTTTATATTTCTTTTTGTATCTTCTTCCAATAGACTTTCGCTTTTTCACAGGTCCACCACATGTGAAAGTAGGAACCTTCTTTCTTCTTACATTTCCAACAGGTCGAACTTGTGTTATTATATATTTTCCCTAATTTTTGGGGGGTTAGATACCATCTTAGTGACATTTTGATCCAATTTTCCCTAAGGTCGGTGGCGTATGTGTATTTTAATCTTTTCCTCCAAATTTCCTTCCACTCTGTTTGTCTGATACTTCTTCTTAGATTTTCATTCCATCTTTTCATGTAATTTTTATCTTCTCTAGATTCTAATTGCCATTCTAAAAGTTGTTTGTATAGTTTTGTTATTAGTTTCCTTTCTGTTTCTAGTATTTTATCCCAAAAGTCTTTACCCTTTGAGAACCCTACTTCTTTATCCAATTTATACTTCTCTTTGATTTGCCAATATTGTAGCCATGATATTTTTTATCTATGGTAATTAATTCCTGTTGTTCCTTTAATATTAGATCTCCTTGATAGTTTTTCAAAATTTCTTTATATTTTGGCCAATCGTTCCACCCCATACATCTCCTTTGAGTCGCCTCCAATGGTGATACCCATAGTGGTGTCTTTGCATGAAATTTTTGTTTGCTATGGAAGCTCCTGGGATAAAGGTACTGGCTGGATGGGCCTTTAGCTTTGAAGTCTAAAAATAGGAGGCAGAACAAACTTTTTCAAAGGTCAAAGAGGTTAGAACAAAATCTGGCTACCAGTATTAAAAAACTCTAAAATTAGAATAGCATAACAACAGAGAGGAAACAAACAAGGACATCTAATCACCTCTCAACAAAAGATTGCCCCAGGCACGGCCAGATTTAATACTGGTAGCCAGATTTTGTTCATTTTCATGGTTTCCTCCTTTCTGTTGAAATTGTCCACATGCTTGTGTATTTCAATGGCTTCTCTGTGTAGACTGAATGGTGATTGTCCCAGCATATTATTTGAGAACACTGAAATGCTGGACCACTCTAATCACCTCTCAACAAAGATTTACCGGGACTGCCTTCCACCTGCCTTCCACCTGGAAACCAATGCCCTCACTGTGGGAGATCATGCAGGTCAAGAATAGGGCTCCATAGTCACCTACATACCCACCGCCAGAACATCAGTACGTCAGAACTTGGAAGACAATCTTACTCAGACAATGAGGTATCGCCTAAGTAAGTAAGTCAGCCAAAATACTGCCACCGTGTGTATGTTGTGGGAAGGAGAACACAACAACAAACAAAACCCTGTCAAGGGGAAACCTTTACCTTTACTGGTAGTGTGTGGGATTCTGACTTCTTTTGAGTTGTAGGGCCTTGAGCAATGAGTGGGATGTTGTGGGAGAGAAAGCAGCAACACAAAAGGGGTTTCAGCCAAAATATTGCCAATGACCTCCTTGGCATCCCCCCCCCCCATCGCCTCTTTCCCCCAAAGGCCTTGCAGGTGTCCCTTCACTTCTGACCCGCAAAGGTGGCGTCTTCCAAGGTCTCGAAGGAATAAGGCAACGTCAGCCACAATCGTTTTGTCTCTTTGTTTTTTTTAAACTCTTGCAAATTCAATTAACAAAAAGCTACACAGTTTTTTTTTGTTTTTCACACATCCAACAAAATTCCAGAAAGAGGAAAGAAAGAGCCCCCTCCTCCCCGCCCGCCCCCTCCAAAAAGCAATGCTATTTAAGAGCAATCCCCTTTAAGAGAACTAAAAAGAGAAGAAGGAAACCAAATTGTACAAGAAGTTTGTCTGTTTGTTTGTTTTGAGCTATTTACATTGAAAGGCCTGAGAGCGGGGCGGGGTGGGCGGCAAAGAAGCTTGTCTCCCGTTCTGCAAATAAATGCCTTTTAAAAAATTATAATCAATATTATTTTTTTAAATAGTTTTAAGCTACTTTGGCTGTTAAACAGAATCAAAGCAGAGAACCGACTGCTTAATTTTAATCTGATTTTCTTTCTTTTTAAAAAATATCTACAATAGTGGCCGGAGGAGGCGACTTGGCCGAGAGCTGCGCATCCCTCCCTTCATTCGGACAGGACTTGGGGCGTAAGTCCTATGGAAATGAATGGAAGGACGGCGGTCCGGAGGGCACTTGGTGCGTTGCTCTCAGAGCGGCTGTGGCCTCCTCCCCCTCCTCCTCCCTCCCGCTAAAAATATTGCAATTATTCCCCCAAACTGTACTTATATTAGTTTTTGTGTGAGAGTCCAACCCACCCTGTTTCTCATATATATATATACAGAGGCCTCTTTTTTTTCACACCTTAGGGAGGCGGTCTATATACCGGTAATAAAACATAAGGGGTTTTGGGGGGGAAATGGGTGGGTCAAAATACTCTGTCATTAATTATTATTACTATTATTATTATCATCATCATAATTCTTATCATTCTTGCTTTCCTCAAAATTGACAAATTCACGATTGCTAGAAAAAAGCTGATTGCACAAACAGGTTGGGGATGGGGGGCGGGCGATGGGGGGCGAAGGGTGCGTGTCTTCAACAGCGGAAAGCGTCTCTTCCCACAGAAGAGACGGGCAGGATTGTCCCCCCTGATTCCCGTTCGGCTGAAGGCGCAAATCAGTGACAGATCCAGCTGAAACTGAGAACCCGAATCCCCCCCCGATTCCTCCTCTCCCGAAACGCCCAGCAAAACGCCCTTTTTCCCCCTCTCGCGCTCCGCCCCACCGCCGCTCCACCCCACAAAGAACCTCCATCAGGGATAAGAAGCCAGCAACTGATTACAAAAATAAGGATCATCTCTAAATTTTGGCTCAACTGTTCCGTCTTGTCGCTCTTTTGCTGACATCCAACACCTTTAGGGAAAAAATAATAATAAAGATAGAAAGGAAAACAAATTATTTTGCTCCAAACACTACGAGAGCCGAAGAAGGAGAAGAATGGCTGAAAGTGTTTTTTTTTGTTGAGATATCAAAAATCTCAGAAAAATATATAATATATATTTATATATTTATATATATCTCTGTACGTTTTAATTATTATTATTTAAATTTCACATTCCTTTTTTTCTTTCTTTTGTTTGTTTGTCGTCGTCGTCGTTGAAAAGCGGGGCTATTCCGTCAGTAGCTGCTGAAGGAGGCTTTTCTGCTGGGCTTGCGGCGTCTGGGAGCCCCCCGGGGTCTTCTGGCCGCCCACCGGGCCGGGCGCGTTCAGGTAGGGGTCTCCGCCCACCAGGTTGACCGTGCACTGGACGTCCGCAAAGACCTGGACCTGCTGGACCTGCCGACAGGGAGCGAGAGAGAGAGAGAAGGAAGGGGAGAGGGAGAGGGAAGGAGGGAGGGAGGGAGAGAGGAGGGAGACCCTGTTAGCCGGGCGTAGGAATATGGGGGGGAGGCCCGAGGTGGGCCAATGGCGGAGCAGGAAGCTACGGTGAAGTGGAAACTCACTAGAGAGAATGCCTCTAGCCTGAAGTCACCACAGAGAAGAAGAACTCTTCTGTCTTCTTGCCCTACAAAAAGAAAACCGCTGCACTCATTCGGGTCAGAGCTCGGAAAGAAAGAAGCAAAACGTTCATATGTTTCTCTTGAATTCAAATCAGGCACAATTGACACTGGTAGGCTGTTAGGAATAGTGGGAGTTGAAGTCTAAAACACCCAGAGGGAGGGCTGGAGCTGGCCCAGGCCTGTCTGAACGTATCTTCTGCTATGAACCATCACGAAGCTTGAGATCATCAGGAGAGGCCCTGCTCTTGATCCCACCACTCTCGCAAATACGGTTGGTGGGGATGAGAGACAGGGCCTTCTCGGCAGTGGCCCCCCATTTGTGGAACTCTCTCCCTAAGGACATCAGGTTGGCCACCTCCCTCCTGTCCTTTAGAAGACAACTGAAGACCTGGCTCTGGGGTCAGGCGTTCGATGAGAGGCCAGCGGCAACAGGAAAAGGAAATTTGGATTCTGTGACATGGATTCTCCCGGCTTGGCTTGGTTTTTACTGACACGTTAATCTATGAATTTATTGTTAAATTTTACTGATGTTGTACAATGTTTTAAATGTGAATTGTAATTTTTATGGTATTTATGCTGTTAGCATCTTCTGATGCTCATGTGGGGCCGCGCTGTCCCCCTTGTGGGGGGAAGGGCAGGATATAAATATTTAAAATAAATAAATAAATAAATAAATAAATAAATAAATTTGCATCACCGATGACACTTTGACAGCCACATCTGTCTCCTAGTATGGAATAAAAATAATGGGACTCACCGTTTAGTGGTGAGGTATGAGAACTCTGCTGGAAGGTACACATTATTATTATTAACTCCCACTCTTAACTCCTGATTGAGTTGCAAAGTGGCTCGCAACATCAACAATTAACCACATTTCGATACCGTGTTTCCCCAAAAATAAGACACTGCCTTGTATTTATTTTTCCTCCAGAAGACACCCTATGGCTTATTTTCAGGGATGTCTTATTTTTATTAAATTCAAGCCGTCCCCTGCCAGGCGTTGCTGTGGCCCAGTCTGGTGATCTGGAAAATAAAGTAATGAGAAAGTGTGGGTTTCTAATATATGTAATTCCTTTCTGCTTGTGGGTAAACAGTATTTCTTGCTGTTTCTTTGTCAGTGTTGATGTGGAGATTGTCTGCTTTGCCTATTCTAGAACATGCAACATATAGTTGTCCTTCTTTAGGGGTCCCTTTCAAATCTATGATACTATATCTCTGTGTGCGAATCATATACATCTATCTATATCTATGGCTGGATGGCTCTTTGTCAGGAGGGCTTTGATTACGTTTTCTTGCCTTGGTGAAGGGAGTTGGACTGGATGGCCTTAAGTATTTTCTGTTGGTCATGGGGGTTCTGTGTAGGAAGTTTGCCCCAATTCCGACATTGGTTGGGTTCAGAATGCTCCTTGATTGTAGGTGAACTATAAATCCCAGTAACTACAACTCCCAAATACCAAGGTCTATTTCCCCCAAACTCCATCTGTGTTAATATTTGGACATATGGAATCTTCGTGCCAAGTTTGGTCCGGAACCATTATTGTTTGAGTCCACAGTACTCTCTGGATGTAGGTGAACTACAAATCCCAAACTCAAGGTCAATGCCCACCAAACTCTTCTAATGTTTTCTGTTGGTCATGGGAGTCCTGTGTGCCAAGTTCAGAATGCTCTTTGCTTGTAGGTGAACTATAAATCCCATCAACTACAACTCCCAAATGACAAAATCATTTTTTTGAGTGATGGCCACTCTTTGAGTTAGTAGGTGTCTTGTGTCCAAATTTGGTGTCAATTTGTCCAGTGGTTTTTCTTATGTTAATCCCACAAACGAACATTACATTTATATTTATATAGACTAGCCATCCCCTGTCACGCGTTGCTGTGGCCCACATGGGGGTTCTGTGTGGGAGGTTTGGCCCAATTCTATCGTGGGTGGGGTTCAGAATGTTCTGTGATTATAGGAGAACTATAAACTCCCAAATGTCAATATTCTATTTCCCCCAAACTCCACCAGTGTTCACATTTGGGCATATTGAGTATTTTGTAGAGTTTGGTCCAGATCCATCATTGTTTGAGTCCACAGTGATCTCTGGATGTAGGTGAACTACAACTCCAAAACCAAAGGACACTGCCCACCAAACCCTTCCAGTATTTTCTGCTGGTCATGGGAGAACTGTGTGCCAAGTTTGGTTCAATTCCATCGTTGGTGGGGTTCAGAATGCTCTTTGATTGTAGGTGAACTATCAATCCCAGCAACTACAACTCCCAAATGGCAAAATCATTTTTTTTGAGTGAAGGACATACATTGCAAAAATATGAAGGCAGAATTGAGTTGAGAAAGTGTAAATCAGTGCTTCCCAAGCTTCTTGACGTTAAGGGTCAGCAGTATTTTTTTCTCATTGTGCCCAGAGGAGGGCGACTAAAATGATCAAGGGTCTGGAGAAAAAGCCCTATGAGGAGCGGCTTAAGGAGCTGGGCATGTTTAGCCTGAAGAAGAGAAGGCTGAGAGGAGATATGATAGCCATGTATAAATATGTGAGAGGAAGCCACAGAGGAGGGAGCAAGCTTGTTTTCTGCTTCCTTGGAGACTAGGACGCGGAACAATGGCTTCAAACTACAAGAGAGGAGATTCCATCTGAACATGAGGAAGAACTTCCTGACTGTGAGAGCCGTTCAGCAGTGGAACTCTCTGCCCCAGAGTGTGGTGGAGGCTCCTTCTTTGGAGGCTTTTAAACAGAGGCTGGATGGCCATCTGTCAGGGGTGATTTGAATGCAATATTCCTGCTTCTTGGCAGGGGGTTGGACTGGATGGCCCAGGAGGTCTCTTCCAACTCTTTGATTCTATGATTCTATGATCTTTGTCTCAAATTTCTCACTTGGAAAAAAACTCTCCAGGGTCCATCACTGGTGTCTGGGCCACTGCTTGCCTGATTACCTCACAAAACTAAGAACCCCATGATTCTATAAGATGGCTGTTAAAGTGGTATCAAAGTGCTATAATGGTGTGGTGTGAAAGAAGCTCTGAGTCCAGAAGTGTTTTTGAGGAAGGGGCAAAATGGAAGTGTCTCCCCCATCCCACCTTGGGCCAAAAAGTTGAATGGAGGCAGAAATGCAAGAGGAAAGAAGGCAGAAAGAAAGAAAGAATCTTCTTGAATTGTTTTGATTGAAGGTTTGCTTGGTGCTTCCCCCTAGAACAGGGATGGTCCAGGTGAATTTTCCAACTGCCTCCCGCAAACATCAATGCATTGTATCTGTGACTCCCTTCCGTTATAGTGGTGGTTCCCAACCTGTGGTTCATGAACCACCAGTGGTCCGCAAGAATGAAAATATGGTCCACGGCCTCACTATTACACCACTGCCTTGAAACCATGTGACAATGAGAGCAAATGGTCTCACAAAGCCCTCTTATAGTGTTGAGGCAACAGGGATGTCAGGAGGGGAGAGGCAGACTACCCATGAAAGATTACTGCTTCCATATCTGCTTTAGATGATTAAATATGGTTTTCTGTGGCTGAGCAGATGGCGGCTACTGGATGGCATACACTCTGTATCAGAAACTAGAGCTGATGTGGTCTATCCAATGCAATTTCCTGAATCAGCACCCCAAATAACCAAACCGAATCTGAAGTTGACCAAAAACTGATTTGTAACCCTTTTGGTACTAATGTGGAGAGTAGTCCCTGGTCAAGTGGTCCATGGTTAAAAAAAAAAAGTGAACCCCTGCATTACTAGTTTTAACTTTTAAAGCCCTAAATGGTTCTGGCCCAGATTACCTGTCTGAATGTATCTCCTGCTAGAACCATCACGAAGCTTAAGATCGGCAGGAGAGGTCCTGCTCTCAATCCCACCACTTTCGCAAACGCGATTGGTGGAGACGAGAGACAGGGTCTTCTTGGCAGTGGCCCCCCGTCTCTGGAACTCTCTCCCTGAGGACATCAGGTTGGCCACCTCTCTCCTGTCCTTTAGAAGACTTGGCTTTGGGACCAGGCATTTGATTAGTGGACAGCGGCAATTGAAAAGAAAACTTAGGATATCTGTAACATTGGATTTGGTTTTAATTGGCATGTTTAATTTATTGTTTAATTAGCTACGCATTGCTGTGGCCCAGTTTGTGTTTTGTTTGTGTATATTTTTGTGTATATATTTGTGTATATGTGTATATATGTGTGTTTGTGTATATATGTGTGTGTGTGTGTGGTTTTGAGCATGCACTGTAATGTATTTTTTGATTATTGGCTTTTAAAGTCTCTTCTGTGGTTTTCAGTGTTTTTATGAGTGATGGTCACTCGTTAGCCTGATACGTGTATTGTGTCCAAATTTGCCTTTCCCCCAACATGGGACTCTTGGTGTTTTGGAGCATAGATTAAAGGTTGAGTGGTCCTCCTGAAGGGACATAACAACCAACAGACTGTATAGAGGCATTACAACTGTGAATCGACTTGAGGATGATTGTCCTTCTCTTTTGTTCTGTTTTTAAAATACACTAGAATGCCGAAAAATATCCCCAGTGTTAGAAAAATGCTTCTAAAAACATGAATTGTCCAAAGCAAGTTAATCAATAAAACACTTTCTTAATAAGAATTGGGAATGTTTGTTCTTTCATGGTAGGTCGGTGGCTGAAGTCAAGTGATGGCGCAGGTATGCAGACACCTGGCTGCGCACTGTCATCCCATTTTCTATATAATACTCCTCAGTTATGTGTGGAACCACCCTATTCCCTTGACTGGATCTGCTTCAATTCAGCTGCTTGTTTAAGATTGAAGCTGCCTTCGTCTGCCCTTTAGGATGAATGAATTTGGAAGACGGAAAAGAGCCCATTAACTAGCTCACCTTTCCACCCCTCCCCCCACGCTATTCTTTTTGCCAGTGGTTCTCAACCTGGGGTCCCCAGATGTTTTTGGCCTTCAACTCCCAGAAATCATAACAGCTGGTAAACTGGCTGGGATTTCTGGGAGTTGTAGGCCAAAAACATCTGGGGACCCCAGGTTGAGAACTACTGCTTTATGCGATGATTATTTAGCAAATTGAGCCCCTGGGTTAAACTGCTGAGCTGCTGAACTTGCTGACCAAAAGGTCTGCGGTTCAAATCCAGAGAGCAGAGTGAGCTCCTGCTCTTAGCCCCAGCTTCTGCCAACCTAGCCGTTCGAAAACATGCAAAATGTAAGTAGATCTGTCCGAACATATCTCCTGCTATGAATCATCACGAAGTTTAAGATCATCAGGAGAGGCCCTGCTCTCGATCCCACCACTCTCGCAAACGCGGTTGGTGGGGACGAGAGACAGGGCCTTCTCGGCAGTGCCCCCCCCCCCCCCCCGCTGTGGAACTCTCTCTCTAAGGACATCAGGCTGGCCACATCCCTCCTGTCCTTTAGAAGACTACTGAAGACCTGGCTCTGGGCCAGGCATTCGATTAGAGGCCAGCGGCAATAGGAAAAGGAAATTTGGATTTTGTGACATGGATTCTCCCGACTTGGCTTGGCTTTACTGGCTCATTAATCTATTAATTTATTGTTAAATTTTACTGATTATGTTGTACAATGTTTTAAAATGATTTTATTGTGAATTGTAATTTTTATGGTATTTATGCTGTTAGCATCCTCTGATGCTCATGTGAGGCCGCACTGAGTCCCTCTTGTGGGGAGAAGGGCGGGATATAAATAGATGAAATAAATAAATAAAAAATCAATACGTACTGCTCCGGCGGGAAGGTAACAATACTCCATGCAATCATGCTGGCCATATGACCTTGGAGGCGTCTATGGACAACGCCGGCTCTTTGGCTTAGGAATTGAGATGAGCACCAACCCTCAGAATCAGACATAACTAGACTTAATGTCAAAGGGAAACCTTTACCTTATTTAGCTAATTACTTATTATTAACTAGAAGTCCCCTGCCACGCATTGCTGTGGCCCAGTCTGTGTATATATGTTTTGTGTGTGTGTATATGTGTGTATGTATTTGTGTATATATGTGTGTTTGCATGTGTATATATATGTGTGTGTGTGTATGTATGTGTGTATATATTTGTATATTTATATGTGTACATGCATATTGTGTATATATGTGTGCATGTGTATATGTATATATGTATGTGTGCATGTATATGCGCATATGTTTATATGTATATATGTGCATATGTATATGAGTGCATGTGTATATGTGTATATTTGTGTTTGTGCATACATATATCTATCTATATCTATATATCTATATATCTATACACACAAGTGTGTGTGTATGAATGTGTGCATGTGCATATGTATATGAGTGTATGTGTATATGTATATATGTTGTATTTTTTGGGGTTTTAAATCTTTTAGCTGGGGTTTTGTGTGTGTGTGAGAGAGTTTATGGGTGATGGACACTTGTTGGACTGTTAGGTGTATTGTGTCCAAATTTCGTGTCAATTCCCCCAGTGGTTTTTGAGTTCTGTTCCCACAAACGAACATTACATTTGTATGTATATAGATTCATTACAAAGGTTTATAGAAGCTGATTTTGGAGGCCTGCCTAAAAGGCAATATAGAAGTATTCTTCTAAAAATTAAAAAAACTGAAACAAAAAACTGGACCCAAGAATACAGATTGGCCAAGATCTTTGCCTGTGATCAGCCCCAATCTTTGCACTCTCATTTGCCCGGCGGAGAACAACTCTGGGCTGGATTTACAGACATCCCAGTATCTTCTCAATGATGGCTAGAAGGCCAAAAGAGCTTGAGAGGACAATGATAAAATATATAGGGTTGGAAGAGATCACGAGACCCATCTAGCCCAACCTGACTCTGCCAGGCAAAATCCCTGGACGAAGAATGGAAATGCCTGATGTATGACTGCCTCGAGTCCCATTTCAACTCCAATCTCCTTCAACAGGATGATGTTTTGAATCTCAAGAGCCAGAGGTTGCCCTGAGGGAATGTGAGCAGCCAGGAGAGGCTTCCCTGAGGCCCTTATGCACAGAGGAGAGTGTTACTGACCTGTGCGCCATCGGCTTCTGTCTTCAAAAGGTCAGAGGAGAGCTGGTTGCAGTAGAGGCCTGTGGGTCTGAGAGATGGGTCGTTCACCTGGGAGAAAGCAGACGCAAGGAGTGAATTCGGAAAGCGTTCAGTGGGATTCCCTCTCCAAACCCCCATTATCAGAAGCATTAGAGAAACACTCTCATCTAGAATGAGTGATTGGCGCAACACAACCAGCGGATGATTCGACCTTTTGCAGACTTATCGTTTTTGTTTAACTGATTGAGCCATGTGCCTGGAAAGGCCCATCCTGGCCCCACTCACCTGCTCAGAGCACAGCTGGTTCATGCTGGGCATCTGCAGGGAGCTCATGGGCATCTGCCCAGCCATCGGGTTCATGTTCTGGACATTGGCATTCCCTCCAGCCATGGAGACGGTGATGCTCATGTTGTTGTACATTCCCTGCTGGGCGGGTGAGGGCTGGTTCTGCCCAGCTTGGCCAAAGACGCTGCGGCCAAAGAGAGGAGAGTCATTCCCAAAACAATACACATTCCTAAAAAAAAACTATATGGGATATAGGGGACAGAAAGGACATTCCTGTTGCTCTTAGATTTATGTCTGCTACCATCATATTAAGTCTTTCCATGTCTATGAGTACCCAAAATGGCAAAGTACTGTATATACTCGAGTATAAGCCGACTTGAATATAAGCCGACCTGAAAAAGGAAGAGGAGAAAGAGAGGAAGGAAGAAAAAGAAGCAGGAGGAGAAATAGAGTAAGGAGGAGAGGGGGGAAAAGAAGGAAGAAAGTGCAGAAGAAGAGGAAGAAAAAGGAAGAGGAGAAGGATAAATAGAGGAAGGAGGAGAAAAAGGAAGAGGAGAAGGAGAGGAAGGATGAAAAAGAAGCAGGAGGAGGAGAAATAGAGGAAGRAGGAGGAGTAAAAGAAGGAAGGAACAGGAGAGGAAGAAAAAAAGCAGGAGGCATAGAGGAAGTAGGTGAAGGGGAGCAAGAAAAAGGAAGYGAGATTAAGAAAAGGGGGAGGAGAAGGAGGAAAAGAAGGAAGAAAGAGGAGAAGGAGAGGAAGAAAAAGGTGCAGCAGGAGGAGGCAGAAATGAAGGAGGAGAAGGAGAGCAAGAAAAAGGGAGACAGAATAGGTGGAGGAGAAAGAGGAAAAGGAGGAGGAGAGGAAGAAAAAGGAAGAGGAGGAGAGGAAGGAAGAAAGAGAAGCAGCAGCAGGAGGAATAGAGGAAGGAGGAGAAGGAGAGCAAGGACAAAGAAGAGGAGGAGGAGGAGAAGGAAGAAAGGAGGAAAAACAAGCAGCAAAAGAAGGAATAGACGAAGGAGGAAAAGGAGAGGGAGGAAGAATAGGATGAGGAGGAGAAGGAGAAGAAGGAAAAAAGCAAAACAGTCTTGGCTAGAAGCCTTTTGGAGTGTATTTTGACTTGCCAAACATGGGGTATGTAGCATGCAAACATGTTGTGCTAACTGTGCAATTGCTGAGATTTTTTAACAAGATTTTGGTCAGTCAAATAGAAACAAGCACAACATCCTATGAGCCCTGCATATGAAATTAGAGGATAGGATGAGCAAACCCGGTAAGCTTAGCTCTGGATGTATTTGGAATATAACTTGGATATTGGGAAAAAGGAAGCATAGAAAGGCAACCAATTAATCAATCTGAAAGTGAATGCAACTGATGAAAAGGCTCGTTGAAGAGAGCACTTTGCTTAAAGAGCAATTTCAAGTACATCTAAACATATACAAAACGTTCTGAGCCATGTTCCAAAACATCTTGACATGTTCTGCTGATAACAAGATGCAAAGGAGAAGTGCAACATACATGGTTTGGAAACAATATTTGCTCCTTATTGGCTCCTTTGCGTCTATGTCAAAACCTTATGTTGCTCAATGGCTGCATACTATGTGTTTTTATAGGAATTCTATTTAAAGCTGCTTTAAGATCTCAATTGGGATGGGATTCTAGGCTTTGAAGAGTCCACACTGCAAAGTGCAATCAACTCCTCGACTCCATTCAGGAAACTTTAAAAGGTTTTTAAAATTTCCTCCTTCAGGATCAACAGTTAGCAAACAGATTTCAGGAAACATTGAATCTACAAAGGGGAGCCAGGAAGACATAGTTCCACCATGTCTCCTGGGTCATTACTTGGGAGCCCCTCCCCTCAGTAACGCTATAGTCATATATAACACTAATATTGTGCTGTGCTAATAATATAATGTATTGTATACACATATTATATTGATATTATAATGTAATACAATCTAATACTAATAATAATACAATATAATAATTTTATATTTCATATTACATGTAATATTACTAATAATATTACAGTATAGTGGTATAGTATAATAAAGTAATTATAATACTAATATTGTGCTATGTTGATAATATAATATATTGTATGTACATATAACTTGTAAGCCACTTTGGGTTGAGAAGGGAAAGATAGAATTGTCAGAAATAAATAAATAAAAATAAATACTATTAAAAAAATGTAAGTCCCCCTCTTGCAATCATGATTTCTCGGATAACTTTTCCTAGTGACCTTTCATGGAATTCTGGTTGAGAAACCTTGAACTAGATAAACCCCACTGAATCAATAGGTAAAGGTAAAGGTTTCCTTGACATTTCAAGTCTAGTCATATCCAACTTTGGGAGATGATGCTCACCTCCATTTCTAAATTGAAGAGCTGGCATTGTCTGTAGACACCTCCAAGGTCATGTGGCTGGCATGACTGCATGGAGCGCCGTTACCTTCCTGCAGAAGCGGTGCCTATTGAACTACTCATATTTGCATGTTTTCCAACTGCTAGGTTGGCAGAAGCTGGGGTTAACAGTGGAAGCTCACCCTGCTCCCTGAATTTGAACTGCCAACCTTTTGGTCAGCAAGTTCAGCAGCTCAGCGGTTTAACCCACTGCGCCACCAAGGGCTCCTTACCAATTTACGTACCAATTTATAATTGATTCTTTGTGTTCACTTTATCTGGGACCAGTAAATGGATTTTGTAGCAATTGGAGTAGCAAATAGGAAGACATAAACTCCCTCAGCCTACCGGCTGTTAGAAATTGTGGGCATTGGACCAGGTCGTGGCACAGCTGGTTGGGAGTCAACTGCATTAAATCAGTACTGACTGAAAGGTCATGAGTTCGAAGCCAGCCTGGGTCGGAGTAATCTCCCGACCATTTGTATAACTTGCTGTCGACCTTTGCAGCCCGAAAGACAGTTGCATCTGTCGAGTAAGAAATTTAAGTACTGCTTATGCGGTGAGGCTAATTTAACTAATTTACAAGGCCATAAAACTCTCCAGCAGTGTGCAAAAGAATGAGGAAGTTCTCCATCGGTGTCACAAGTGGATGGTGAAGCGACAGCTCCCCCGGTGGTCAGAATTCAAAAAGCATGCCCTCATGAAGCTGGAAAGTTAAATAGCCTCTGTGTGTCTGTCTATATATGTTGTGTGTCTATGGCATTGGATTTTTGCCATGTATATGTGCATTGTGATCCGCCCTGAGTCCCCTGCGGAGTGAAAAGGGTAGAATATAAATAAATAAATAATAAATATATAGGGACCCAGTGAATGTAGGAGAAAAACTACATATGGATTCCCCAGTAGGGATGTGAGTCCATACCTGTTATTCCCCATGGCTCCTTGCTGCCAGGTCTTCATGTCGGGCGACTGGTACCCCGGCGTGGGTGGGGCTGACTGGAGCATGGGGCTCTGCGAGGGAGGAATCTGGGGCGACATCAAGGGGCTGCCGGGGCTGAGCGAAGGGGCAAAGGCCGCCTCTGCCTGCTGACCCATCCCTGCAGGACGAGAGGAAACAGCAACCCTTCAGATGAACTTGGAGAAGGAGAACAACAGCCTCAAGGAGGAATAGCTAAGGAGACTGGGGAACCTGTGAAATCTGCGGGGATTCAAACGCGGGGCAATTTGAGCTCTGGAACATCCCGTTGGTGGGTCTATGCATGAAGCATGAAGACCACAAATAAGAACAATGCTCCCAGTGTTCTCCTTGTTAGGGTTTCCTCGCACTCAAACAGCCTCCTTCTCTTCTGAGGCTTCAAAGACTCTTTCCACCTGATCAACTCTCAACAGGGGTTTGCTCTAGGCACTGTCAGGCCATTGTATGCTGGTCAAGGTGGTCAGTTGAGACATTCGCACCTAGCTCCAGCAGACAGGAGTCCTCTGTCTCACCCTGGTCATTCCACGGATATATAGACCCTTTTTCCTAGTTCCAACAGACCTCACTACCTCTGAGGATGCTTGCCATAGATGCAGGCGAAACGTCAGGAGAGAATGCCTCTAGACCATGGCCATATAGCCCGAAAAAACCTACAACAACCCACTCTTTCCACCCCTACTCTGCACACAATAAGGGCTGTGATTTTTAGTTTGCTAAGCAACCAACCCACCCCACTTAGTTTTGGTAACGGCCATTTTCCTCCATTCCATCCCAGCTCAAAGACGCACCTGACCCCGAATACTGGAAGATGTTCTGCTGCATCTGAGGGCTCATGTTGGTGCCGAACTGTCCTCCGACGCTTCCCATCATCCCCCTGTTCACCATGTTGTTCCGGTTGGCCAGGGCTGCCTCCGGGTTGGATGCCGCCAGCTGCGAGAAGGGGCTGGTGGAGGCCGGAGGGTTCCCCGGATTCGTACCATAATTGGGAGGAAAAGGGAACTGCTGAGGGGGGGCCTGGGGGAGGCGCCCGGCCCCCAAGGGCACCGGGACCCCAGCTGAAGGGGGCAGGCTGCTCCCAAAGCTTTGCTGCTGCCGCATGAGCATGGCGCGCTGCTGCATGAGCTGCCTCTGCCGGTGCTGCTGGCTGTAGAGTTCGCGCTGGCGCTGGGCCAGCATCTGTGCGTTGAGTGGCGGCTGAGGAAAGAAGGCAGAGAAGTTAGGACAGGAGATATAGAGCAGGCAAGGGATCAATTTGGTTTAATTTTGCCCTGATTCCTTCCTCAAACTGTGCTGTTCCCAGTTTCTGCTCCTTTTAGTCACTACTGACCAAAAGGCCAAGAGTTCAAAGCCAGCCAGGGTCGGAGTAAGCTCCCGACCATTTGTCTAGCCTCTGAGGATGCCTGCCACAGATGCAGGCGAAACATCAGGAGAGAATGCTTCTACAACATGGCTATATAGCCCGAAAAACCTACAACAACTTAGGTACAAAAAATGTGAGTCAAACACTGAAAGGGTTAAATGGATACAATGCCTTAGGAAAAGCTGCTGCTCTATATATGTAGGTCTGCCTGTAACTTAGTAGCTGTCAATGTGAGAGAGCTCTCCGTGTGAGAAGGCTTCTGTGGGAGCTAAGCCTCAGTGTTAGTAGGCCCTCGTGTGAGAGAAGGCTACAGTGAGAGGAGCCCCAGGTTTAAGGTGTCGCGTGTAAAGCTCCAATGTGAAGGTTGCTGTGTGTAAAGGCTATTGTGTGAAGCTCCTGTGTAAATCCAGTGTGTGTGGAAGCTCAGTAAGAGCGAAGCTGTTTATCTGTATGAGAAAGAAGCCCAGTGTGGAAGCAAAGAAAGAAGTATAAAGAAGTATTAAGGATTAAATGGATTCAATGACTCAGCAAAAGCAGGTGTGCCTATAGCTTAGTAGCCCTCAGTGTGAGGTAGCTCTCAGCGTTAATTTGCCTCAGTTTGAGAGAGGTGTCAGTCTGAGAGAGCCCTCAGTGTTATGACACCTCAGTGTGAGAGGCCTCAGTGGGAGAAAGGCCTCAGTCTGAGAGAGTCCTCAGTGTGAGAACACCTCAGTGGGAGAAAGGCCTTCATGTGAGATAGGCCTCGGTGTTAGTAGGTCTCAGTATGAGTAGGCTTGGTGTGAGAAGCTTCAGTAAGCAAAGCCCCAGGTTGAAGGCCATTTTGTGTGAAGCTTCAGTGTGAAGGCTGTCCTGTGTAAAAAGCTCCTGTGTGAAGCTCCTGTGTAACTTCGGTGTGAGAACAGGCTCTGTGAGAAGTTTATCTGCATGAGGAAGCCCAGTGTGGAAGCAAAGAAGAAAGTATAAAAAACTTTATTTGTGTGATGGAAACTTTGTTCTTGAAAATAGTGCAACCATATTATTTTGCTATAAAGAAAAGCCTCCTATGGAAGATATCACATTGGTCCGTGTGTTTTTGTTATTTTGATCACTTTAGGCTGTTAGGAATTGTGGAGTTTAAGTCCAAGTGTAACATGCACAGATATCTATAACAACAATTACAAAAACTGTAGATTGCAAATCACAATTTCTATGTTCCCAGAATTTCTACATTGAATGTAACATGAGAACATTCACACGATTAATTAAAGACTATTTATAAATAGAAGATAATTTTTCAATACTTTATCAACACAGTGAAACTAGAGCTTCCAAAATAACAATTAAACAATATCAGGCACAGTGACACAAAATAACACTTTCTATATTGTCGAAAGATCTTCTTCCATAAACAACATCAGAGACAGTGACACACAACAAGGTCTCCCGGGTTGTTTCCCTTGTTTCGCAATGTCTTCATCAGGTGTTATGATGTTTTAATTCAATTCTAATTGGTAGCTATCGGTTCTGTTTTGATTTCCTATCAGCATTTATAGTCTTTGGATTCAATTCCTGTAAACAGCCTGGGCTCTGAGTGAGGAGTTCTGAATTGAGATGCTGATAGGAAATCAAAAGGGGCAATTCTGATGTCTCTGATGTTGTTTATGGAAGAAGATCTTTCGACAACATAGAAAGTGTTATTTTGTGCCACTGTGCCTGACATTGTTTAATTGTTATTTTGGAAGCTCTAGTTTCACTGTATTGACAAAGTATTGATAAACCGTGTGTCACTGTCTCTGATGTTGTTTATGGAAGAAGATCTTTCGACAATATAAAGGTAAAGGTAGTCCCCTGACATTAAGTCCAGTCATGTCTGACTCTGGGGTGTGGTGCTCATCTCCATTTCTAAGCCGAAGAGCCAGCGTTGTCCGTAGACACCTCCAAGGTCATGTGGCCAGCATGACTGCATGGAGCGTTGTTACCTTCCCGCCGGAGCGGTACCTATTGATCTACTCACATTTGCATGTTTTTCGAACTGCTAGGTTGGCAGAAGCTAGGGCTGACAGCGGAAGCTCACGCCGCTCCCCGGAATCGAACCTGCGACCTTTCGATCAACAAGCTCAGCAGCTCAGTGCTTTAACCCCCACTGCACCACCGGGGGAAAGTGTTATTTTGTATCACTGTGCCTGACATTGTTTAATTGTTATTTTGGAAGCTCTAGTTTCACTGTGTTGACAAAGTATTGAAAAATTATCTTCTGTTTATAAACAGTCTTTAATTAATCGTGTGAATGTTCTCATGTTACATTCAATGTAGAAATTCTGGGAACATAGAAATTGTGATTTGCAATCTACAGTTTTTGTAATTGAGTTAAAGTCCAAAACACCTGGAGGGCCCAAGTTTGCCCATATCTGCCCTAGAGTCGACTGGAAGCACAGTGGCCAAAGAGGGATCCAATGTTTACCTGCCCTGTGATCTGTTGCTGCATCCCGGGCCTCATGCCCATGCTGCCCGGAGGGTTCCCAGCAAATTGGTTCAGGATCGCTTGCCGATTTTGGTGTATCAGCTGGAAAAAAAGCAAAGCAATGTTAGAGGCTCCCTGCAGAAACAAAACAAAACAACAACAACAACAACAGAAGTGAGATTCAGTTGCTTCTATAGCCAAAATAATATCTAGAGGGGAATGAAGGGGGAAGTGGAAGCAAAGGTGTAGCAATGAAAGGGAATGTGGTAATGCTTCATCCAAGCTTCCAAATGAAATTACCCTTCACTTCTGTAAATTTTAGCATTTTAAAGGAGACTCTGACAACCATCTGTAAACTGTAAACTGTGATAGGAACTGTGACAATGGCTACAACATTCTTGTGTTAAGAAAGAAGTCAAAACAAGGCCTATATTCATTTTTTTAAATATATTTTTATAATTATTCTTTTCCGCTGACTGCTACAATACTAATCAAGAAGAATCAACATTCTTCAATAGGGAAGCAGGGTCTGGCCTAACAGGTGCTTCTCCAATGAGGGAGAAAAGGATATGGTAACATTTGGATGCATGAGGATGGATGCATGTACATGTGTGTGAATGCTGAGTAAAAGTGTTTGTTGTTGTTCATTCATTCAGTCGTCTCCGACTCTTTGTGACCTCATGGACCAGCCCACGCCAGAGCTCCCTGTCGGCCGTCACCACCCCCAGCTCCTTCAAGGTCAGTCCAGTCACTTCAAGGATGCCATCCATCCATCTTGCCCTTGGTCGGCCCCTCTTCCTTTTGCCTTCCACTTTCCCCAGCATAATTGTCTTCTCTAGGCTTTGCTGTCTCCTCATGATGTGGCCAAAGTACTTCAACTTTGTCTCTAGTATCCTTCCCTCCAATGAGCAGTCGGGCTTTATCTCCTGGAGGATGGACTGGTTGGATCTTCTCGCAGTCCAAGGCACTCTCAGAACTTTCCTCCAGCACCACAGTTCAAAAGCATCAATCTTCCTTCGCTCAGCCTTCCCTAAGGTCCAGCTCTCACATCCGTAGGTTACTACAGGGAATACCATGGCTTTGACTAGGCGGATCTTTGTTGCCAGTGTGATGTCTCTACTCTTTACTATTTTATCGAGATTGGACATTGCTCTCCTCCCAAGAAGGAAGCGTCTTCTGATTTCCTGGCCACAGTCTGCATCTGCAGTCATCTTTGCGCCTAGAAATACAAAGTCTGTCACGGCCTCCACATTTTCTCCCTCTATTTCCCAGTTGTCAATCATTCTTGTTGCCATAATCTTGGTTTTTTTGATGTTTAGCTGCAACCCGGCTTTTGCGCTTTCTTCTTTCACCTTGATTAGAAGGCTCCTCAGCTCCTCCTCGCTTTCGGCCATCAGAGTGGTGTCATCTGCATATCTGAGGTTGTTAATGTTTCTTCCAGCAATTTTCACCCCAGCTTTGCATTCATCAAGCCCCGCACATCCTCGCATGATGTGTTCTGCATACAAGTTTAAAAGGTTGGGTGAGAGGATGCAGCCTTGCCGTACGCCTTTCCCAATCTTGAACCAGTCTGTTGTTCCGTGGTCAGTTCTGACTGTTGCTACTTGGTCCTTGTACAGATTCCTCAGGAGAGAGGGAAGGGGCTTGGGATGCCCATCCCACCAAGAACTTGTCACAATTTATTATGATCCACACAGTCAAAGGCTTTAGAATAGTCAATGAAGCAGAAGTAGATGTTTTTCTGAAACTCCCTGCCTTTCTCCATTATCCAGCGGATATTGGCAATCTGGTCTCTCGTTCCTCTGCCTTTTCTAAACCCAGCTTGAACATCTGGCAACTCTTGCTTCATGTATTGCTGGAGTCTTCCTTGCAGGATCTTGAGCATTCCCTTACTGGCATGAGAAATAAGGGCCACTGTACGCAAGTTTTTACGGAGTAAAAGTGTAATTGCCCCTTTTGTTTGTTTGTTAGCCAATGTAATGGGTGCTTGTGAATCCAATATAGTTGCATAGAATCTGTATGTCCATATGTTTAATGTTTTTTGTGTGTGTGTAAAAATATAAAAGTTCTGATATACCCTCTCACACTGGAAATTGCAATAAAAAGAACCTATGCTTTAAAGTTATTGAAATGTAATTCATGACATGGGATGCCACACGACGTTCGGACTCACCTGCTGTTGTCCTTGGAGCCTCTGTTGCAGCTGCAGCCGCAACTGGTTGGGTGCTGTAGGGGGCCGGCTGAGCGCCTGCCGTGGCTGCATCCCCATGTTGGTCGGGAAGGCCCCCCGAGGCGGAGGGACCTGGACCGGCATGGGCCCAAAGGACTGCTTCTGCCTGACCATGCCCTGGAAGGGGCCGGCGAGGCTGGCGGTGGGGGAGGCTGAGGGGTAAGGCTGCGGGTACAGGCCGGGCTTCTGCTCCATGGCCATGGGTGGCGGGGCTGGCGCTGCTTGCTGTGGCTGGAACCTCTCCGTCAGCGCCTCCAGGCCACCTCCCTGTGCAGGGAAGGAAATAGGCGTAAGTGGAGAAGCCTCAAGACTTAGATATAGAGCAGGCATGGGCAAAATTTGGCTCCCACAATTCCTAACAGCTGCAGACTGTTATTTATTATTTTATGTAATTATTTATTTATTAGCCGTCCCCTGCCACACGTTGCTGTGGCCCTGTGTGTGTACATGTGTTTTTTTGTGTGTATATATGTGTTTGTGTGTGTATATATTTGTGTATATATGTGTGTTTGCGTGTGTGTGTGTATATCTGTGTATTTGTGTGTTTATATGTGTAAATGCATATTGTGTATATGTATGTGTGCATGTGTATATCTATATGTGTGTATATGTATATTTGTGTCTGTATATGTATGTGTGTATATGTTTATATTTGTGTGTGTTTGTGCATGAGTGAATGTGTGCATGTGTATATGTATATGAGTGTATGTGTATATATGATGTAGGTTCTTGTGGGTTTTTTCGGGCTATAGAGCCATGTTCTAGAGGCATTTCTCCTGACGTTTTGCCTGCATCTATGGCAAGCATCCTCAGAGGTAGTGAGGTCCTCACTACCTCTGAGGATGCTTGCCATAGATGCAGGCAAAACGTGAGGAGAAATGCCTCTAGAACATGGCTCTATAGCCCAAAAAACCCCACAAGAACCTAGTGATTCCAGCCATGAAAGCCTTCGACAATACATTATATATGATGTATTTGGGGTTTTTTAAAGTCTATTCCGTTGGGGTTTGTGTGTGTGTGTTTAGGGGTGATGGACACTTGTTGCACTGTTAGGTGTATTGTCTCCAAATTTCGTGTCAATTTGTCCAGTGGTTTTTCAGTTATGTTAGCATAACTGCGTTGCTGTGGCCCACATGGGGGTTCTGTGTGTGAAGTTTGGCTCAATTCTATCGCTGATGGAGTTCAGAATGCTCTGTGATTGCAGGTGAACTTTAAATCCCAGCAACCACAACTCCCAAATGTGAAGATTCTATTTTCCCCAAACTCCACCAGTGTTCACATTTGGGCATATTGAGTATTTGTGCCAAGTTTGGTCCAGATCCATCATTGTTTGAGTCCACAGTGATCTCTGGATATAGGTGAACTACAACTCCAAAATCAAAGGACACTGCCCACCAAACCCTTCCAGTATTTTTTGTTGGTCATGGGAGAACTGTGTGCCAAGTTTGGTTCAGTTCCATCATTGGTGGGATTCAGAATGCTCTTTGATTGAAGGTGAACTATAAATCCCAGCAACTACAACTCCCAAATGACAAAAGCAATTTTTTGAGTGAAGGACATACATTGGGTTGTTAGGTGTCTTGTGTCCAAATTTGGTGTCAATTCTCCAGTGGTTTTTGAGTTATGTTAATCCCACAAATGAACATTACATTTTTATTTATATAGATTTGCGGTATTTGTACACCACCCTTCTCAACCCCTATGGGGATTCAGGGCAGTTCACAGTGTTGGCAACAATTCAATCCTGTTGCTACTAGAGGTTTACAATAGGCTTTTTCTAAGTAACAGGGAGGATCAGAACCTTTTCTGTTACAGCTGCCACAAGTTAATTGGGTGTGTTATCTGCTTCAACATATAACAAGGCACTAGGTTTGCAAGTTTTGAGCTTTGCATTTGGCTTAGCTTGATGGCTCGTTTGAGCTGAAGAAACCTTTGGCTGTTGCTGGGAGTGGTTACGCAGTGTCCTGAAGTCTGAGGCCATTTGGAATGCCAAGGAAACTGCTTGTTTATGGTAAGATATGGACATTCCACTGTATTGGGTTGTTGTAGGTTTTTTCGGGCTATATGGCCATGGTCTAGAGGCATTCTCTCCTGATGTTTCACCTGCATCTATGGCAAGCATCCTCAGAGGTAGTGAGGTCTGTTGGAACTAGGAAAAAGGGTTTATATATCTGTGGAATGACCAGGGTGGGACAAAGGACTCTTGTCTGCTGGGGCTAGGTGTGAATGTTTCAACTGACCACCTTGATTAGCACTTGATTAGCACCTTGATTTCCACTGTATTAGTTTTCTATGTGTTTGCATATCGTCGTATAAAGAAGACTCACCGGAGATATTGTTTGTTGTATATTGGTGAGAACAATTCTTCTATTTTGCTTTGTGTTTTGATCTACAGTGAATAGAACTATATTTTTGTTTCTACTTTTAAAGCAATAGACTCAGGTGTATTTTTGAGTTTTTATTACATTGAGAGTAAAAGGGGCTGAGACATTCTGTGGGCTGCTAACACTACTCTGACAAATGCCATCAATGAAAAACAGTATAAAACATCAAAATTGACCCTCCCCTGATAAAAAATTAAACATTATCAAGCACATCACATATCACACAGAGACATAGCTGTCCTGGGTCATTCCACTTTCAACTTTCACTTTAAATGGAGTGGAGTGGAATTTTGTTTGGACCTCCATTGCGAGCCTCCTTGGGTTACACACCGGGAGAAAGGCAGGATACTAATGAATTCATCTGAGAGCCAAGCTGAGTACCTGGACCAGTTTGTCGATGCCAAGAGCGCGGTCCAGTTCTGCCAGTTCGTTCTCATCTTTGCCGCTCAGGAAGGAGACCAGCTGCTCGAGGAGGGCTTTCTCGTCGTTCCGCCCCTCGGGGGTGGTTGGGGGGCACAGGAGCTCGTCCAGCTGAGATGTGATGCAGTGGCTGCAGGGGCGGGGAGGCAAGCCAGGACAGTGAATGCCGAGCACTGCAGGCGCTTGAAACATCAGTCGAGCATTCAGAGATAGAGTTTAGACCAGAGGAATAGGAACACAGCAAATCTAAGAGTTCTAGGAGTTTTTTTTTTTGTCGTGTCAGGAGCGACTTGAGAAACTGCAAGTCGCTTCTGGTGTGAGAGAATTGATCGTCTGCAAGGATGTTGCCCAGGGGACGCCTGGATGTTTTGATGGTTTATCATCCTTGTGGGAGGCTTCTCTCATGTCCCTGCATGAGGAGCTGGAGCTGATAGAGGGAGCTCATCCGCGCTTTTCCCGGATTCGAACCTGCGACCTGTTGGTCTTCAGTCCTGCCGGCACAGGGGTTTAACCCACTGCACTACCGGGGGCAGTTCTAGGAGTGAACAGTTTCCGATGTCTCACCCTGTGGCGCAATGGGTTAAATCCTTGTGCCAACAGGATCGAAGACTGGCAGGTCACAGGTTCAAATCTGGGGAGAGCACCAATGAGCTCCCTCTGTCATGCAGGGACACGAGAGAAGCTTCCCACAAGGATGGTAAAACATTCAAACACACAGGCACCCCCTGGGCAGTGTCCTTGCAGATGCCCAATTCTCTCACACCAGAAGTGACTTGCAGTTTCTCAAGTTGCTCCTGACACACACACACACACAAACCTCTTTGCAACGCAAGATGTTTTAGGACTGAAAGGAAAATTTCAATCTGGAGGGAATGCCGTCATTTTGTCTCCCATGATGGTTGCTTTCCCATGTCCATCCAAGCCTGGCCTGTCCCTTCACTAAATGAAAGCACCCACTAGACTGCCACCACCAAAGCTTCTTAACACTAGAAATCTGGTTTCTGCCTCCTGCAGAATTCTGGTGTTAAAGGCTCCTACCTAAACTACACCCCCACAAATTCTGAAGGCAGGAACCAGATTTACAGTGGATTCATTCTCTAGTGTCATGAGGTCCCAAATGATGCAGCAAAGTTCACATTATTTTTTCCACTGGAGTTCCCTATATTGTCACTGGCCAGTATTATTTCCCCCTTTTTCTGTTTGTGTCAGCATCACAGCTTTATTTTTCCCACTAGCTGTCCCCTACCACGCGTTGCTATGGCCCAGGCTGTGTAAATGTGTTTTGTGTGTGCATATATGGTTTTGTGCATGTGTTGTAATGTATTTTTTATTTTTTGGCTTTTAAAGTCTCTTCCGTTGTGTTTTCCAGTGTTTTTATGGGTGATGGTCACTTGTTGGCCTGATAAGTGTATTGTGTCCACATTTGGTGTCAATATGCCCAGTGGTTTTTGAGTTCTGATAATCCCACAAACGAACATTACATTTTTATTTATATAGATTTGTACCAATTTCTCTGAAACTCTTCCTTTCCTTCCAAAATTCCCTCCATTGGCACCAGGTCTTACATCTAACATAATAATAATAATAATAATAATAATAATAATAATAATAAGGATTTAAAGATCGAACTGCAAAGACTCTTGCACAAGCCAGTCAAGGTGGTCCCAGTGGTGATCAGCACACTGGGTGCAGTGCTTAAAGACCTTGGCCTGCACTTAAACACAATCGGCGCTGACAAAATTAACATCTGCCAGCTGCAGAAGGCCGCCTTACTGGCATCTGCAAGCATTATTTTCTGATACATCACACAGTCCTAGACACTTGGAAAGTGGCCAGCGTGTGATCCAATACAACAGCCAGCAGAGTGATCCTGTCTGCTGTGGACTCAATAATAATAATAATAATAATAATAATAATGACAGAAACCCCAACGACCATCCAGTTCAACTCCCTTCTGCAATAATATACTTTATTTATATTCTGTCCTATCTCCCTGAAGGGACTCAGGGCGGATTACAGAACACATATTCGACAAACACATAGCTGTTAGTTGGAGTCATTGGGATTTCTGTCTGGCCAGGCATATCATACTTGCTGGAAAGCATCAAAAAGCCGAAACACAAAAGATCCCAGACCCAAATGTTCTTGAGGTGTGCTACATGAGTATCTCATGTAAAACACTGAACATGTTCTGGCCAAACCCACAGGCAACAATAATAATATAATATGATATAATATAATGCAATATAATAGTAATAATAATAATAATAATATATTATAATTACATATTTATATTGCATATAATATTACTAATAATATTACAATATAATGGTATAGTACAATATAGTAATATTTAATACTGATATTATACTATGCTAATAATATAATATATTGTGTATGTATGTATGTATGTATGTATCTATCTATCTATCTATCTATCTATCTCGTAGGCCGCTATGAGTCCCCTATGAGAGAAGGGCAGCATATAAATGTAAATAAATAAATAAATAAACAATGAAAAAGGCTGGGTTGGAAGGGGGAAGGCAAAACAAAGCCCTCAAGGTCAGGAAGAAAGAAAGAAAGAAAACCAAAAACAAAAAGTGTGTCCAGAATAAGGCAATGCTTCTACAAGTGACTGTCTCCAAAACAGATCCAAAAAATCTGGAGGGCCGGAGTTTGCCCATGCCTGCATTAATGGTAGTTATTTTGGTGCATCTCCGTCGTTCCAAAATAGCTGCCGCTGCTTCCATGTTGAGAAGGGAGACAAAACGGCAAAGGAAAGAGAGATTTCTCTCCTCTTGATGTGCCGTTAGCTAAACTCCCCAATCCCTCTCTCCAGCACAATTTCCCATTACAAAAATGGCCAGGTTTTGGTTTTTAAGGCCTTCTCTTCAAAAGGAAAAGGAGGGAGAGTAGTGTAAGAGATGGTACACTGCAAAACAGTGTTTAGGTTGAGGAACCAGCAAGAACTGTGAACCAGGAAAAGTTCACAATAGTCTCTCGGTGACATCTACTGAACTTGCACATCCCTTTCCGAAAGCAGCAGCCTGGACTGTTTGCTGTAGCTTTGGGCACTAGATGGCACCATTTTGAAAAGTTAGCATAAAGGTGTCACACCAGGATTGAAAAGTCAAAGAGACAAGTTACCCTGGATGTAAAGAATCCCTTTTTGGCTGAATTTGTACAAGACAGCTTCACACAACGCTTTCTAAGCAGGAATACAGACCTTCAAATCCAGTGAGCAATGAAATTGGTGTTCTGGTCCCAAGTAAAGACACCTCAGATATTTACTAACAGCAATCCCTAATGTGACCTACAATCAAAATGAACAACTTTTGCAAGAAGTTACCATGGAGTTGCTCTGGACCTTAACAACTAACTAACTAATGGGTTGTTGTAGGTTTTTTCGGGCTATATGGCCATATTCTAAAGGCATTTTCTCCTTTAGAAACCTCACTACCTCTGATGAGGATGCTTGCCATAGATGCAGGCAAAACGTCAGGAGAAAATGCTTTTAGAACATGGCCATATAGCCCGAAAAAACCTACAACAACCCAGTGATTCTGGCCATGAAAGCCTTCGACAATAACTAATTAATTCTAGGAGAAACTCCTATCAAAATCTCTAAACACATAAAACAATTAGCTAATCATAGAATCATAGAATCAAAGAGTTGGAAGAGACCCCATGGGCCATCCAGCCTCTGTTTAAAAGCTTCCAAAGAAGGAGCCTCCACCACACTCCAGGGCAGAGAGTTCCACTGCTGAACGGTTCTCACAGTCAGGAAGTTCTTCCTCATGTTCAGATGCTTTCCTAAAAGCCACTCCATGCTCATCACCCTTCTTGGAATGTGTAAGATACAATCCTTTGGAAAGACGACTCGTATACTTACTCATCTGGCTTGCTTATGGGTCCTTGGTTGATGGAGGTCATGGCGTTGTCTGCCCAAGGGAGCTGTTCTCCCATTGCTGGCTGTCCAAACTGATGGTCGGAGACTCCCAATTCCAGTTCAGGCAACCCTGGAGGAAGCAGGGAGCAAAAGGAGGAGGGAGAGGAAAACATGCCAAACCATCAGACCATGAGGAACTGGTGGGCCTTTTCTTTCACAGCAGAAGAGTTGAGGGGCACCTTTTTGAAACTGAATCTGACAAGACAGAGGTACTCCTGGTCAGTTGCAAGGCTGAACAGGGCACAGGGTTACAGCCTATGTTGGATGGGGTTACACTCCCTCTAAAGACGCAGGTTTGCAGCTTGGGTGTGATCCTGGACTCATTGCTGAGCCTGGAACCCCAGGTCTCGGCAGAGGCCAGGGGAGCTTTTGCACAGTTAAAACTCGTGCACCAGCTGTGCCCATACCTTGGGAAGTCAGATCTGGCCACGGTGGTCCACGCTCTGGTTACATTCCGAATAGATTACTGCAACACACTCTATGTGGGGTTGCCTTTGAAGACTGTTCGGAAATTCCAGCTAGTCTAATGGGTGGCAGCCAGATTACTCACTGGAGCGCCATACAGGGAGCTCACCCCCCCCCCCCCCCCTGCTGTGTCAGCTCCACTGTCTGCTAGTCCATTTCTGAGCACAATTCAAAGTGCTGGTCTTGGCCTATAAAGCCCTATACAACTCCGGCCCAGCTTACTTGTCCGAACGTATCTTCCTCTACGTTCCGCCTCGTACTTTAAAATCTACTGGGGAGGCCCTGCTCTCGGACGCTGATCTAATCTCACTGGGGAGTGAATTTAAGATCTACTGGGGAGGCCCTGCTCTCGGTCCCACCAGCGTCTCAAACGCGTCTGGTGGGGACGAGGGACAGGGCCTTCTCGGTGGTGACCCCCTGCTTGTGGAATTCGCTCCCCAGCGAGATTAGATTGGCGTCCTCCCTCCTTTCCTTTAGGAAAAAATCGAAATCTTCTTTGGACTAGTTTTGTTTAGCCTGGAAGCAAGTCCAAAGAAGAAGAAATAGATAAGCTATCCCTGACCAACCTGGAAGTACTTTCCTTTATGGAGAGAATCTTTTCTCCATGCGAGTGTGGAGCGAATGATATTGCATGCGTGTGCGAGAGAATGAGTAAAAACCCCTCTCCCCCCCCCCCTTCCCTCCCCCCTTTTCTACACTTTACTATCCCTCCCCAGCAAGATTAGATCAGCAGCATCCCTCCTTTCCTTTAGGAAAAAATTGAAATCGTGGTTTTGGAACCAGGCTTTTGGCTAGCAGGCACAGCGGCACTTTGGACACTGAACTGGACCATGATTGTTATGAAAATGAAACAGCTATGTGACTGTATAATTAATGTTATTGTTTTTAATCTATTGCATATTTATGGTTTTATATTGTTATATTGATATTGCAGCATCGAGTTGTTGCCAACGTTAGCCACTCTGAGTCTCCCCTCGGGGGTTGAGAAGGGCGGGGTAGAAATGTTGTAAATAAATAAACAAAATTATACTGTCATCATTCAGTAAATAACAGGTTGAACCTCTCAACTATCCTGGAATCTTGGAGCATGGGGGGGGGGGGCGACACCGGTAGGCTGTTAGGAATTGTGGGACTTGAAGTCCAAAACACTTGGAGAGCCAGTTTGTCCATGCCTGTTGTATAGGGTACTTCATGCAAAAGTTATGCCCATGCTTATATACACTGACACACGTGCGATGGGGCTGCACCCTGACTTTGAATTCACGGGTCAAGCACTGGCCACCAGCCTTTTCCATTGGCACGACTGGACAACGTGGCCAACAATGTGAAACAACGGTCTCCAAACCTAGCCAGGGCCTGCAGAGCCGGCTTGACCTGAGAGTGCTTGTTTTGTTTTTGATCCGGCTGTGCAGCGACAACCGAGTGTTCTTAAGGGTTGCCTGGCAACTGGGAAAGAAGGGATCTGCTACCAGCAGCCTCTGCAAGAGTGATCCACCTGGGAAAATGCCACACGAGGAGACTGGCTCAGGTGCCCTTGCTGAGAGGTGGCCCATCTATGCAATTCACAACCCAACTCAGAAATGTCGCAGGCCCAGTCTTTGCCAGGAGGAAATAGTCCTTCCAAAATATCCTCCGATGCCCAACCCACTAACACTTTTGATTACGAGGGCTCTTCTGACTGGGCAATACTCCCTGTTTGTAAAAACAAACACTGCGTATTGTTGAAGGTACACATGGCACTCAGTTTCCTTTATGAGGAATGAAACTGGCTTGTGTGCTGGAGGCAGAATGCTATGCGAGATGGTCTCTTTTGGGGGAATGGGTCAACTTTGTTATTTTCTAGCATTCTGTCTTGGGAGGAAAATTCATGGAAAATCCAGATGAATTCTTCGTTCATCTGGAGAGGCCCTGCTCACGATTCCACCTGCGTCGCAAGCGCGGTTGGTGGGGACGAGGGACAGGGCCTTCTCTGTGGTAGCCCCACGACTCTGGAACGCCCTCCCCAAGGACATCAGACAGCCCCCTACGTTTATTTATTTATTTCAGTTACTTATACCCCGCCCTTCTCACCCCCAAGGGGGGATTCAGGGCGGCTTACAAAGGAAGGCACAATTCGATGCCTATGTCAAAAATACATACATACATAAAAGCAATTAAACAGTTAACAGGTTAAAAACATCAGTACATAACACAATAGTAAACAATCTCATGGTCAGTGTTCTTTAGGAAGAGCTTGAAGACTTGGCTATTCCGGTGTGCCTTTCCAGAATAGGAAACCCCAGCAACATGTCCCAAAAGCACTTTACTAGAGACTTAAGATTGTCCGCACATTGCACTTACCCAAAAATCCTTATATTTCAACTGTCATACTCAGCACTTTTAATCTGTACCCATCTACACTCGGCCCGGCCTTAGTTTTATTGTGCTACGGTGTATTGTTTTTACTGTTTATTGTTATTGCGTAATGTTTTGATTTGCTTTATGGTTTATGTGTATTGTTGTATTGTTGTATTATTGAGGCCTTGGCCATTGTGAGCCGCATCGAGTCCTTCGGGAGATGCTAGCGGGGTACAAATAAAGATAATTAATAATAATAATAATAATAATAATAATATTGGGTCTATAAAGCTGGCAATTTTTATGAGAGGCAAAACAGAAACTGTCCTCTAGAAGGGCTAAATCAGGGCAGAAGAACAGCCTGCTTTGCACTCCTCCTATGAGCTAGTAAGCGACTCCTATATTTAAAGAGGGGGGAGAGGAACTCATGTCATGTATTTTTGGTCTCTGTCCTATGTGATTAATGCGTATTTTACAGAAATGCTTTGATCTGTCTCTTTTATGGAACTGAATTTTAATGTGTATTTGTGTGATCCACCTTGAGCTGTGGGGAGAGGCAGGTAAGAAATAAAATTATTATTATGTGGGTTCGTGTGGGTTTTTTCGGGCTATATTGCCATGTTCTAAAGGCATTTTCTCCTGACGTTTCGCCTGCATCTATGGCAAGCATCCTCAGAGGTAGTGAGGTCTGTTGGAACTAGGAAAAACTGTTTATAGGACTCTTGTCTGTTGGAACTAGGTGTGAATGTTTGAACTGACCACCTTGATTAGCATTTGATTGCTTGGCAGTGCCTGGAGCAATCTTTTGTTGAAAGGTGATTAGATGTCCTTGTGTGTCCAGGTTGGTTCATCAGATGCTCTGCTATGGCTGACTTCTCTGGTTGACTTCTACTCGCTTCTGCAGGAGTCTACCGTATACCATGCAACTGTGGACAAGTCTACATAGGGACCACCAAACGCAACATTGCCCAAACACGAATCGAGGAACATGAAAGGCACTGCAGACTTCTTCAACCAGAGAAGTCAGCCATAGCAGAGCACCTGATGAACCAGCCTGGACACAGTATTTTATTTGAGATCGCAGAAATGCTGGACCACTCTCACAACCAACATGTCAGGCAACACAGAGAAGCCATTGAAATCCACAAGCATGTGGACAATTTCAACAGAAAGGAGGAAACCATGAAAATGAACAAAATCTGGCTACCAGTATTAAAAAACTCTAAAATTAGAACAGCACAACAACAGAGAGGAAACAAACAAGGATATCTAATCACCTCTCAACAAAAGGTGAGAGTCACAAAAATGTGAGTCAAGCACTGAAAGGGTTAAATGGATGCAGTGACTCAGAAAAAGCTGCAGTACAATATAAGGTGTGTCTGTAGCTTAGTAGCCTTCAATGTGAGGTAGCCCTCAGTGTTAGGTTGCCTCAGTGTGAGAGAGGTGTCAGTCTAAGAGAGCCCTCAGTGTGAGGTAGGCCTCAGTGGGAGAAAGGCCTCAATCTGAGAGAGCCCTCACTGTGAGAAGGCCTCAGTGTGAGGTAGGCCTCAGTGGGAGAAAGGCCTCAGTCTGAGAGAGCCCTCATTATGAGAAGGCCTCAGTGTGAGGTAGGCCTCAGTGTGAGGTAGGCCTCAGTGTTAGTAGTCCTTAGTATGAGTAGGCCTGGTGTGAGAAGCTTCATTGAGTGAAGCCCCAGGTTGAAGGCCATCGTGTGTGAAGCTTTATTGTGAAGGCTGTCATGTGTAAAAAGCTACTCTGTGAACTCCAATGTAACTTCGGTGTGAGAGCAGGCTCTGTGAGAACAAAGCTGTTCATCTGCATGAGAAAGAAGCCCAGCATGGAAGCAAAGAAGGAAGTATAAAGAACTTTATTTGTGTCATGGAAACTTTGGTCTTGTAAATAGTGCAACCATATTATTTTGCTATCCAGAAAACCTCCTATGGAAGAGATAACACTGGTCTGTACGTTTTTGTTCTTTTTATCACTTTTGGCTATGGGTGCTGGGTCACACTGCTACTAATAAGTTACTCTACTATACATTGATGGGGAGGGTCTTTTGTTAATAAGTCCACCCACCCAACATGGGGACCAAGAGAAGGATCTCTCCTGAGGATCTCAGGGCCCAAACCTGAAGGAGACCTGAAGGGTAGCACATACCTGTGTCGGGCTGGTAAGGAGTGGGTCCAGGCATGGCGCCTCTGGCCAGCTCGGGGGGCAACCCTGGGTGAGGGCTGCCGTTCATGGGCGGGAAGGGCGCCGTCCGAGGCTGAACTGGCTCCAAAGGGTCGCAGATTTCATAGGGGGACCGTCCGGCCTGCATGCCCTGGCCACCATTCACTGCTGGAAGAGAAGGGCACAGTTTAGAGCACAGCTGACATCTGAGATGTCCACGGAGCCACTACCAGCGATGCCAAAGAAGCAAAAATCATTCAAGAGGGCATTTGGGACACCTAAAGGGTTCATTCCGAACCACCACAGTTGCTCCCTCACTTGCTCGCACTCCCAAATGCCCCCTCTATGACGAACAGGAGAGGAAAGTGCAGCACATGTTCACGGCAGCAACATTCTTATATGCTCGATGATGGAAAAAAGGCAGAAATACCAGTGAGGATGTGGGACATGTTAAACCATGTTCATAGAATCATAGAATCAAAGAGTTGGAAGAGACCTCATGGGCCATCCAGTCCAACCCCCTGCCAAGAAGCAGGAATATTGCATTCAAATCACCCCTGACAGATGGCCATCCAGCCTCTGTTTAAAAGCTGTTCTTTGAAGGATAAATCACTGGACACATTCTTAGAGGAATGGAAACCTTTCTGTCAATATATCTCTAGAAGGCCTTTTAGACAGGCCCTATATCCCAAAATCTGGCCCCAGGCTATCTCTTTATCCCAGATTATCTGGCAGTGTGGACTCATATAATCCAGTTTAAAGCAGAAAACCTGGGATCAGGCCCTGGGATATAAGACCTGTCTGGAAGGGTCCTGAGCAAGACCGTAAGAGCTTTTCTGCAGTGCAACTCTTTGCTTTGGAGTGTAGTTGCAGCTCCTTCGTTGGAGGCTTTTAAACAGAGGCTGGATGGCTATCTGTCAGGAGTACTTTGATTGTGCTTTTCCTGCATGGCAGGGGGCTGGACCAGGTAGCCTGTGTGGTCTCTTCCAACTCTATTATTCTATGATTCTATGAGAGGAATAGAGTTTATGTACAGGTTTTGAGATGTAAGATATTGGGGTATTCATTTGTTGATGTAAAAACAAGCAGAATTAAACAACTTGCTGGATATAAAGTAGAAGGGAAAACGTCAAACTAGAGAGAAACTAACAAAAGGGAAGCAGGAAATTCTCTTTTAAATTTCTCTCTCTCTCTCTCTCACACACACACACACACACACACACACACACAGACACATATATATATATATATGAGTGTGTGTGTGTAGTGCGCATATATACACATATACACACACAGACACACATTGTAGGGTTGCTGTGAGTTTTCCGGGCTGTCTGGCCATGTTCCAGAAGCATTCTCTCCTGACGTTTCACACCTATGGCAGGCATCATCAGAGGTTGTGAAGTCTGTGGGAAACTTGGTAAGTGAGGTTTATATATCTGTTAAATAATGTCCAGTGTGGAAGAAAGAGCTCTTGTCTGTTTGAGGCAAGTGTGAGCTTTGCAATTGGCGAGCTTGGTTAGCATTGAATAGCCTTGCAGATTCAAAGCCTGGCTGCTTCCTGCCTGGGGGAATCCTTTATTGGGAGGTGATTACCTGGCCCTGATTGTTTGCTGTCTGGAATTCCCCTGTTTTCTGAGTGCTGCTCTTTATTTATTTGCAGCTTCAAAGCCTGGCTGCTTCCTGCCTGGGGGAATCCTTTGTTGGGAGGTGATTACCTGGCCCTGATTGTTTCCTGTCTGGAATTCCACTGTTTTCTGATTGCTGCTCTTTATTTATTTGCAGCTTCAAAGCCTGGCTGCTTCCTGCCTGGCGGAATCCTTTATTGGGAGGTGATTGCCTGGCCCTGATTGTTTCCTGTCTGGAATTCCCCTGTTTTCTGAGTGCTGCTCTTTATTTATTTGCAGCTTCAAAGCCTGGCTGCTTCCTGCCTGGGGGAATCCTTTGTTGGGAGGTGATTACCTGGCCCTGATTGTTTCCTGTCTGGAATTCCCCTGTTTTCTGAGTGCTGCTCTTTATTTATTTGCAGCTTCAAAGCCTAGTTGCTTCCTGCGTGAGGGAATCCTTTGTTTAGAGGTGATTAGCTGGCTCTGATTGTTTCCTGTCTGGAATTCTCTTGTTTCCTGAATGCTGCTCTTTATTTACTGTTATGATTTTGGAGTCTTTTAATACTGGTAGCCTGATTTTGTACATTTTCATGGTTTCCTCCTTTCTGCAGAAATTGTCCACATGCTTGTGGATTTCAATGGCTTCTCTTTGTAGTCTGACATAGTGGTTGTGAGAGTGGTCCAACATTTCAGAAAGAAGGAAACCATGAAAATGAACAAAACCCGGCTACCAGTATTTAAAAAACTCTAACATCCGGACAGTAAATAGAGCAACATTCAAAAAATAGGGGAATTTCTGACATGAAACAATGAGGGCCAGTTAACACCCCCCAACAAAGGATTCCCCAGGCAGCAACCAGCCAGGCTTGGAAGCTGCAAAGCCATTAAATGCTAATCAGGGTGGTCAATTGCAACGTTCACACTTGCCTCAAGCAGACAAGAGTTCTTTCTCCTGCCCTGGACATTATTCCACAGATATATAAACCTCATTTGCCAAGTTTCCAACAGACTTCATAACCTATGGAGGCCTGCCATAGATGTGGGCGAAAGGTCAGGAGTAAATGCTTCTGAAACATGGCCAGACAGCCTGGAAAACTCACAGCAACCCAGTGATTCTGGCCTTGAAAGACTTCGACAACACATTGAATATCTCTATGGGGCAAAATAGTTCCTATAGACTATGTTTGTATTTTAAAGTTAATTCCTGAAATGGCCACCAGAGGGCTGTCCCTCTGAATTTTTTGGGTAAAATGGGATTTTGTCACAAAAAGTTTGTTGACGAGTTTTTGGGTTAAAGAAGTGCTCTTACGGCAAACAGCATAAATCAGTAAGTGTGTCAAACTACAAACCAAATTCAATTTCGGTAAAAATTCTAACAGCAGAAACTCATGCTTAAATTCTTAATTTTGGACACTTTGGAGTTGCCAAACAGTTTGAGAAAATAGGTCAGACTTAACTTGACCATAAAACATGCTTTTATGTGCCCTTCTTGTGTTACTGTTTACCCTCCAAAATTTAAAATTTGAAGGAGTCTTACAATGAAAAATCCTATCTGAAAAATTCCCAGAAATAAAATACAATTGCCAAAGTGAGAATCGTAAGAAAGCCATAGTCAACACAGCCAATGATCAGGAATGCTGGGATATAATAGCCCATTGCGAGGCTATGTGAATATATATATACTTTTTTATTATTTTCTGGGAAACAAAATTGTATTGTATTTCCCAGAAAATAAAATACAATTATATTCACATTTTAAAAAATGTTGCCAAAATTGAAGTGATAACTCACAGCTAGCATAATCAGTGATGTAATTGACATAGTGATAAATCACAGCGAGCATAGCCAATGATGCTGGGATGTAACTGCATTGTAGCCAATGGTGAGGATATGCTAAATATAATTTTATATTATTTCCTGGGAAATAAAACTATTCCTAGAAATAAAATACAATTACGTTCAGTTTTTTTTTAATATTGGCATAGTTGAAGCTTGAATACAGGAGTGCCAACCATAAGGCCTTCTAGAAGACCTCTGAGTCTCCTTTGAGAAGGAGAAAAAGTGGGGTATAAATAAACATGATGATAATATTTATTATTTACCCCATTTATATCCCGCTGTTCTGAACCCCAAAGTTGAGTCAGGGTGGCCTTACAAAGGCAACAATTCAATGTCATATGTTAATAGAATTGGAAGAGACCTTATCGGCCATCCAGTCTTTTCTGCCAAGAAGCAGGAGAATCACATAATACATTGGTAAATAAACAAAAACGTTAAAACCAAACTCATTAAAAACATAGTATTAAAACATCAATTAAAATCACATTATCCAAATCCAAAGCCGGGCCTTTAGCACAGCTGGTAAATCACCAGCAATGATAAGATCTACCAATCGAGAGGTTGCCAGTTCAAAGCCCTGGGTCAGCGTGAGCTGCCGACTGGCAGCCCAGCTTACTGTTGATCTAAGCAGTTCAAAAACAGCTTGAGCTGTAATTAGAGAAATTAGGTACTGTTAAAACAAGCAAGGGAGGTATTTTACGACACTATAATGAAAAAGATCAGAAAATGCCCGGTGACCAAAAGGATGGAGGAAGTCCTGATGGCTCTTCATTATAGAGGATGCAATGACAGTGTGGCTGGATTCGAGCACAACCTTCCAAGGTGCCAAAAAGCTGGACTTCAACACAACATACCTCCTTTGTTTTATCTTGTCTCTGTGTTGTCTATCAAAAACGGCATTGAATGTTTGCCGTGAATGTATAATGTGATCCGCCCTGAGTCCCCTTGGAGAGAAAGGGCGGAATATAAATAAGTTGTTGTTGTTGTTGTTTAAGAAACATGTAACCAAAATAACCAATTGTGAGGAATGATGGGAGGTGCAGTGCACCAATATTTATGAGCCTCGTGATTCCCAACACTGGTTTAATAGAAACCACTACAGTCACTGGGCTCTTGACGTCCCATTTAACAGAAGCTGACCATCTTTATTTCCAAAAGAGGTGAAAAAGTTCTGTACAGGCAGTCCCTGAGTTACAAACATTTGACTTACAAGTGATTCCTAGTTAAGAATGGGGCTGAGACAACAGGAAGTGAAAGAAATCTACCCCTTGAAAGGGAAAATCACTCCTGGAAGAGTTATTATCATGGGGAAAGGGGGTCTCCACTGATGCTTGTTTCGACAACAAACCCAAATATTTCAAAATCCAATGATCACAGGGACAGAAAGTAGAGTGACATCTTTTGAACAAGGGCACAGGCATTGGCTAGAGGTACTCTTAAAAATCTATCTATTCCGACTTACATATGAATTCAACTTAAGAACCAACCAAACTTGGGGACTTCTTTTTTGTCGTGTCAGGAACGACTTGAGAAACTGCAAGTTGCTTCTGGTGTGAGAGAATTGGCCGTCTGCAAGGACGTTGCCCAGGGGACGCCCGGATGTTTTGATGTTTTTATCATCCTTATGGGAGGCTTCTCTCATGTCCCTGCATGAGGAGCTGGAGCTGTCAGAGGGAGCTCACCTGCACTCTCCCTGGATTCGAACCTGTGACCTGTCGGTCT